GGTTCAAGTGATTCTCCGGCCTCAGCCTCCTGAGTAGCTGGGACAACAGGTGCATGCCATCACGCCTGGCTAATTTTTTGTATTTTTTTTATAGAGACGAGGTTTCACCGTGTTAGCCAGGATGGTCTCGATCTCCTGACCTCGTGATCCGCCTGCCTCAGTCTCCCAAAGTGCTGGGATTACAGGCGTGAGCCACTGTGCCTGGTCAGAAGTTAAGCTTTTTAATCAGTCACGGGCTGTGATGAAGATGTGGATTCTCCCCGAGGGGCCTCTCTGCCAAGGGGATGGGCTGGAATCTCTGGGAGTTGGTGAAACAATTCGTGGTTATCAAAAGGGAATATAGGTTCTTAGACTGAAAAGCACTGATCTAGAAAAAAAATCCTGGCCAGGCATGGCAGCTCACTCTTGTAATCCCGGCACTTTGGAAGGCTGAGATGGGAGGAGGGCCTGAGCCCAGGAGTTGAGACCAGCGTGGGCAACATAGTGAGACCCCATCTCTATTAAATAATAACAATGACCTTTGCGGAGCTGTTTTCTCCTATGATCTTTTTATAGTCTTGCCTTCTTTCCATAAGTGGCAAGGGACTGAGACATGTCTGCCTGCACCACAGCGCAGCGCAGGCCTAGGGAGGCATGTGTTACATTAGCCAAAGGCAAAGGCTGCTGTGGCCAGGCAGCTCTAGATGCAGATCCTGGCTCTGTCCTTACCAGCTGTGATGCTGGGTAAATCACTTCCATCCTGAGACTTTCTCATTTCATAAAATGATACTGTTACCTGTCACAGAGGGCAGTGTAGACACAATGAAAACTGCTCTGAACAGTGCCTAGAATAGAGTAGGTGGGCCAGAAATGCTGCTGCCCACTCTCCTGGCTGCTGCACCAGTCCCCGGAGGCAGTATCAGGAGCTTGGGGGAGAATGTGACACTCTCAAAGCTCTCCGCTTCCTAACTGGTGAAGCCCCAAACTCACAGCTCAGGAAGTTCTCATCAGGCTGGGCCCAGCCCCAGCGACCTGCTGTACCCACTCACCCCGCCACCCCGCAACCCACTCACCCCGCCACCCTGCCACCCACTCACCCCGCCACTCCGCAACCCACTCACCCCGCCACCCCGCCACCTACTCACCCTGCCACCCCGCAACCCACTCACCCCGCCACTCCACAACCCACTCCCTCTCCAGAGGCCCCAGCCAAAAGTCAGCAGACCCCCAGAGGGGGCTCCACAGACATTGGTCATTCAAGTTTTATTTATGACAACTTAGAACATTCACATCCAATCTAGGAACAGAAATGTACAACATGAGGCTTAAATAATTTCATACACTATGTACAGCCATCGGCAGAGGTACAAAACATATATACACCTTGTGCCAGCCACATCTTGGGGGACGGCAGGAGCCGGATGAAACCCTGAAGCCTGGGCAGGGCGCGATTACTGGAAGAGCTGGTGGCAGGGCAGGGCCCCGATTCATCTCAGGGGTCTTCTCTGACCCTCGGCTCTTTGTGGAGCAGTTTCTACTTCCTATTTCCCTGCAAGGCCCTCAGGACACAGTTCACAGGACTCAACTAGGGTGTGGTGGGGGCTTCAAGATCATGAGTCCTGGGGATGGGGCAGGGGGCAAAACAAAGACATCAAAGAAACAGAGCTTTCCCTGCACAATCTGTCCTCGCACATGAGGGCAGGGAAGGATCTGGGAGTCGGGAGAGGAGGGCCAGGCCCAGGAAGGCCTGTGGGGCAGCGGCCGCTGACCAGGAGGCTATGCCAAGGGAAGAGAGCAGCACAGCTGCCTGTTTGGGATGGCAAAGCGACACACCCCACAGGTCCGGGACAGCCTGTAAGGAGAAACGCACTGCTCCTGCAGGGTGGCCTCTGCCCACACACACACAATGGCGAACAGACTGGGCACAAGCAACAGCCAGGGGCTATGCCTGCTCCCAGCCCGGACATCGGGGATGCGGAGAGCTGGCAGGGCAAAGTGGCGTGAGGTTCCCTAACTTCACCACATCAGGCACAGAAGAAAGTCCCAGCGGCCTCGCCTTTCCCCCATGCAGTTTTGTGCTTTAAACTGCCCTCTGCCCAGGCCACACAGCCCCAGACTGGCAGCAGGGCTGGACAGCTGAGGGTGAAGGGTTTCCTAGGCTGGGTCTAGGGTGAGGCCGCTCCCGGACCCACAGCTGTCCCTTCCTAAGGGGCTGACCACCTCAAAGGCTCAGGTGTGCCAGCCTCCTCCTCCCAGACTTTCCTCCTTCCTGGGAAATCTTGCAGGGCAACTCCAGGTGCTGCCTTTGAGAGTTCCGGCTGCCTCAGAGGAGTTAGTCACTCACAGGAAAGCAAATACTGATGTGGCTGATGGTGAGGAAGGGGCCCTGGCACAGGACTGTGCTGAAGAGGCCCAAGGGCAGAGAGGATGAAGACACCTTCTATCCGGGGAACCCGCTCAGAAGCTTCACAAGCACGGAGCGGGGCTTGACCCAGGAGACAGGGAATCTGAGTCTAAGCTCTTTAGGCTCACTAGGGCTAGGGCTCAGCCTGAACTCAGGCAGTCAGAGATTTGGGGGGCGGGGTTTAGAGAGGACTTTACTCCTGCTCCCACGGTGTAAAGATGTGGCTGGGCCTGACGGGGCTCAGCCTCAAGTCTTAAGATGGGCACAGAAGGGCACGAAGTAAGGTGACGAATCCCAGAATTAGGACAAGCCATGGGCCAAGACCTGGTCTGAGCAAGGACAGACCCCTGTCCCAGACATGGCCGTCCCCAACCTCACTTTGGACAGAGCCAGGCTGGGAGGAGCCTCCTGAGTGTGCCTGCAGGACCCTGCCGTTGTGCTCACGTCGCGACCATTTTGTGCTTCCAACACTTGGGTGCTTATGCAGTGAGTGGAGCTGGGGGCCTGCCCCCTAACTATGGACCTTGGACATCCCTGAGTGGGCAGAGACTCCAACTCTCATGGAGCACAACTCGGGGTGTCTCAGGGATGTTGGGCTCAGGGCTCCTGAAGGACTTCAAGTTTAGAGAGTCAATGACACTTGGCAGGACAGCAGAGTCCGCCCCGCTGTGAGGTAGCTGACCCATGGGAAACAGCAGAAAATGGGCAATGATGATGAGCACCTCTCGCGGGGCCAAAAGATCACACGGGGTGCAAGGCCAGGCCTTGCAACTACAGTGCAGTCACCCCGGGGGGGCGTCCCCGGCCCGTGCGGGAGCTCGGGGGACAGAGTCTTATGTGTTTCTATAGCTTGTAAACAGTCATGCGGACGGATTCTTTCTTACAGGTTGCAAGGTCAAAACTTTCTGTTCAGGTGGGGAAGGACGGAGAGGAATGGGAAGAGATTTGCGGCCACATCTCGGAGCTAAAGGGGTCGCCCAGCACCTCCAGGGTGGCCAGAGGAAGAAGGATTTCCAGTCATTGCAGACAGACTGTGCAGGTCCCGGGAGACCAGCCTCCGAGGGGGTCTCCTTCTTGCCATTAGCTGCCCCAGACTTCAATACCACATCCAGCAGGGCCAGCGCCAGCAGGTCAGCCTTCTTCGACTCCGTGGCCGCTCGGAGGAGGGCACGGGGAAGCGACCAGGCCTCACACAGCTTCCACTGGGCCTGCCTCCCCCCAACACTGGGCACTACATAGAGAGGGCTCCAGGTTCCCTGGCCGAAGACGGAGAGGAGCCATGGGCGAAAACACAGAGCCACCTCCTGAGAGCTCAAACATCACTGCGTCCTCTGAAGGGAGTGGGGGCTTGCTCCTGGCTCCCAGACTGAAGCCAGGAAGCACAAGACCAGTGAAGCAACGGAAAAACAGGGTGGGTGGCTTTGGGTGGGGGTGGGGCAGGGGAGAGGGATGGAGCTTAGTCCCTCCCAAGGCCCACTTCTGTAATTCCAGAGTTTCCCCAACAGGGGGTGCCTGAACACTGATTTAGCAACCTCCCTGGAGCTCAGCGTTTCCAGCCCTGGGGCAGAGAAACTGCCAACTCCCTCTTCCTCGATCATCTGCAAGGGAGGGCCTGCGCTCCATGCCATCTTTAAGGCTGAGAATGTGTCTCCTGAATAACCAGAGAGAGAGAAGCTGGAGAGACTTCCTCCTCCCCTGCCTAGCGCAGTGCCCAGCACATGTGCCTGGCCCAGTGGGGGAATGGAGGGCCGGGGAGGACAGGGACCAGAGTGCTGGGCCATCCTCCCCATCTGAGCTGCCTCCCAGCAGACACAGCCCCCATGCTGCTTCCTACATGGCCCACGCAGGATTCTGGGGCAGAACCCTGAGGCCTGGGCTATGGGGTGAGCGTCCCCGCCTTCCCCGGGGGGCGCTGGGCACGAGATGTTGAGAGTGAGAAGACACATGTGGTGCCATGGGCATGGCTGGTGTAAGGCTGCCCAGTACAGGTGCCAGGCCCCAGGACGGAGGAAGGCACTGAGCGTCAGGCGGCCTAGAGGCCAAGGGTAAGCTAGAAGGCTCCCTGGGGGCTGTGTTGGGGGCTGCAGAGTCGAAGGAACCGTTCCCTTCTCCGCAAAGCAGAGGAGGCGGCCCTGGAGGGCCGGGGCAGCGGACTCCCTTTGGGATTTCTGGCCCCCAAGAGCTGAGGGAAAGAATATGTGGGAAGAAACTTCAAGTCAGTTTCCAGGAGGCAACAGCAAAAAACGAAAATAAAAAAAAATAAATAACTGAAGTATTTCTGACCATCTCCCCAAAGGAATCTTTCTAGCAGCTCCACCTTGGCCCCCTCTGAAGGGATGTTGGGAACTGCTGGGCCAGCTGGGACTCTCTGTGGGTGGCCAGAGGTTAAGGGTTAGCTGCAAGGCCCAGCCGCCCACACCTGGCTTCCTTAGCTACCTGAGGACTATCTTTTTGGGCTCAGAGGCAGGTGCAGTGACTCTAGAGGCTGGGCTGGGAGATGCGGGGAGGCCAGCTCCTCGGAGGGCGGGATGGGGCCCGGCTGCTGCGCCTCCACACCGGGCCCCACCTCTGGGCCAAAGGCCTGGAAAGGGGGCAGAGCCGGTTCAGCAGGAGACAATGTGGCCAGGACTGCAGGGAGAGGAACAAGGAGAGATAACGCCCTTTGGCTTCACAGCTTAATTTCCACCCCAGCCTCTCTCTCACCCCGAGGCTCCTGAGAAGCAGGGGACGGACGGAGGGAACAGTGTCCTGTGGGAAGGCCAAGGGAGAGGGAGGAGGGCAGGAGTGGGGGCCACGCCCTCTGTCCCCAGGGCAGCCGGCCCCATCTGCCAGGTCACAGCTTCCCTTCCATGCTGTCCAGGCTGCTGGGGTCGAGGGTCCAGGGGCATCCCTCTGACCTCACTCCTAGGGTGGGATGCTGTGCGGTAACCGCCGGACACTCCAGAGCTTCACCGTCAGGTCACTGGGGTGGAGGACAAAGTTGGGGGGTGTGGGTCAGCTCTTGTAGTGGGCTTGGCTGTCTGCCCCCAAAAGTAGAGGATGCACTGGATTCCCCAAACTCCCCAAATGTGGCTGGGGCTGGGAGGCAAGCATCGCTTATGGGGAGGTGGGCTGCAGGTGGTGGGGCGCTGGGCAGATGGAGAGGCCAGTGCACTCAGAGGCCCCCAGGGGAGCCTTGTCATGGGTTTTCTTTTTTTTTTTTTTTTGGTGTTTTGTTTTGTCCAGGCCTGAAGGCTCCCTGCTCTGCTCCCTGCTCCCTGGCACCCATCTCCTGGGGCCTGTCCCACTGTTCATGCTCGGGGGAGGATGGTGGGAGCAGGAGGGATGGGTGGGGCACCTCTCTGGGCCAGGCAGGACAGGAAGGGAGAGGAAGAAGGAGGAGTAAAATAATCTCATACCGTTAAGAAGCAGCTCAGATCGAAGTGGGGAAAGAGAGGGAAAAGGAAAGAGGGGAAGAGTGAGAGAGGAGACGGGGAGAGATGGGGAGGGTCAGGGCATGGTGGTGGCGCGGCCCTTTATGGCCAGGACTCGGCGAGGAAGGCAGGGGGTGAGTCCAGGGACGTAATTCCACAACTTTACCCGGCAGTCACTGTGGGCGGAGAGAGGCGAGGACAGAGCAGGAGGCAGGAGGAGATAAGAAGGGGAAGGGAGAGAAGGGAAAAAGTCGGAACAAGAAAGAAAGCCGTCTGAGCAGCACCCCATGGGACAGAGGGCCTGGTGCTCCCCACGCAGGGGCGAGCTGGGGGTGTAAGAGGCCTGGTCTGAGGGCTGGCAGGGCTGCTCTGTGCTCTGAGAGATACCTGGACCAGGAAGACAGCCAGGGCAGGTGGGAGGGTAGGAAAGGCGTGGAGACAAGCGGGCAAGGCCTGGCCCGGGGCCCAGTACCTTCCTCCTCCCCTGCCTAGCACAACGCCCAGCACATGGTGGGCATCCAGTGAAGGCTGGCACAGGCTAGGTATGCAGATGAGGCCACGTGGAATCTGCTCTGTGAACTGAGCCTGTGGGGACAGCTGCAGGGCCCTAAGCCTCCCAGCCTCCCCTGCCCACACCAGGAGATGAGGGGGAGCAGAGGCAGACCTCTCTGTCCAGCACCCACCTGGAGGCTGTGAAGATGTGCTTGGCATTGGTGCAGATGGCATTGATGGGGCTGTCGTGGCCCTTGATCTCACCGATGGGCGTGAAGTTGTCCACGTTCCAGACCTTGATGACGCCTGCACGGCAGGCGCTCAGCAGCATGGGGCGGCCTGGGACGAAGGCCAGGGCGCACACCCAGTCCTTGTGCGCGTTGGGGATTTGCTGCGGGAGGATCGGGGCTGGTGAGGGCTGGGGGTCTGCGAGGGAGAGGACCTGCCCCAGGGCCCCTCTTGCTAGTAGTAGAGCTATTTCCAGGCTCACCCAGCCTGTAGACCTGCCAAAGGCAGGCGACACTGGTTCCAGGAGCCATGCTGGGGTGGCCTGTACTGTGGGCTTCAGGGGACCATAGATGGGTCCCTTTGCTCTGCTTTCCAGGTTCAAGCCTGAGATCCTGCCCTGGCAGAGAACCTTCAGCCCTCACGTGGGTCAGGCTAAAACACAAACGCTCCCAGGAAAGGAACGGGGTAACTGAGCTTCACTTTTAAACCCAAGAGCTGAGGGCAAAGGCTTTTCTGAACGCAGGCTGCCTGAGGGGGAGATGGGGCATCAGGAGAGGCCGAGGGTAGGCAAGGGAGGTTGGAGACAGAGGAGGAAGAGGAAGAACAGGAGGGCTTGGGGAGCTCTGAAAGCCATCTGGGCTGGGGATCTGTGAGTCCGGCCCCAGGGTCTCCAAGGCCCTGCCTGGGCTCAGGAACCACCCACCCGAGTGTGCCCGAGACCCTCCTCCCTACCTGGATGAGCTCCTGCTGCTCCAGGTCCCACTTCTTGATGCCGTTATCCCGGGAGCCGCTGAACAGGACGTCTCCCTGGATGGCCAGACACTCGATGCCGTCGTAGTGCGGGGGCTCAAAGTTGTGAGTGGGGCCGATGGTGCCCGTCGCACACTCGCCCAGCTCGAACAGCTGCGGGAGGAGGGGCCAGGAGGGAGGAGGGAAGGCAGGGCCGGCAGCACTGCGGACCCAGAGGCCTGACGACCCAGGAGTCTGGCTAGGGTGGCAGCCACTGCCCTCTGGGGAGAGGCGCTTCCCCGAAGGCTAGGGCTCTGGAGGTGGGGCTGCTGCTTCCAAGGGACTGGGAACACTGAAGGTTCAGGTCATGACCCTTCCCATGGACACTCGGGCAGGGGTGGGAGGAGACCAACTCAAGTGACGCAGGGGTGAATCAGCTCATCACGCTGAGACCACACAGCCGAACAGGCAGCTGCTAAGGCGGGTTCGGGGTGTGAGCCTCCCTCTAGAATTCTTTCATTTTTTAGTAAAATATTCATCACAGTCCCACCACCCCTGAAAACCCTGCTTCCTTCCAGTTTCTTTTTTGTTGGAGACAGAGTCTCCCTCTGTTGCCCAGGCTGGAGTATAGTGGCACGATCTCAGCTCACTGCAACCTCTGTCTCCCAGGCTCGTGATTCTCCTGCCTCAACCTCCCAAGTAGCTGGGACTACAGGCATGCGTCACCACGCCTGGCCAATGTTTCATATTTTAGTAGAGAGAGGGTTTCACCATGTTGGCCAGGCTGGTCTCAAACTCCTGACCTCAAGTGATCCTCCCACCTTGGCCTCTCAAAGTGCTGGGATTACAGGCGTCAGCCGCTGCACCTGGCCGGCTTCCTGCATTTCTGACTGGATCTGGACAGTTTTCCATGGCGTCATCAGAGCGCAAACAAATGAGTGTTGCTTGTACACTTCATGTTTGGTTGAGTATTTATCATTTTAATAGCTGCAGTGCATCCCATTAGGTGGATTTTCCATCATTTGATGGTTATTCTACCCTTCAACATCTAAGTTATTACGAATTTTTCACCAGTTACAAAATAATGCTGCCATCTATAACTTTCTGCACACAAATTCTTGCCTCCTTTGGGGTGATTTCTTCAGCAGACATCCCCCGAAGTCTTACAATTTTTCATGAGTACCCCCAAGGAAATAGAGGGCAAAGACTGGGGAGAGTGGAAGACAAGCCCCCGCCCGGCCTCAGAGCCGAGGCAGCCCCAGATACCTTAACGTAGTGGTCCTTGGAGCCAGTAACCACGAGGTCGTGCTGGCTGGCCGTCTGGGTGACTGTCAGGCACATCACAGGACCGATGTGGCCAGTCAGCTTGCCAACAGGCTGGAACCTGCAGCGGGAAGAGGCCCAGCCGGGGATTGGTGAATTAGAGGGGACTCTGGGTTGGGGTGGGGGGTCTGCCCCAGAACAAAGCTCCCCTCCAGCTCAAGGCAAGATCGTGAATCTAGACATGAGCTGCCCTGCATCCCAGCAGTCTCACTGGAAGGGCACAGGCCCAGCAGCATGGGGGAGTAAAGGTGTTGCTGAGGTCCTATCTGCCCCAGGGTGGGTCCCCCCAAGCCGAGACCTGGGGACCTTGCCTGGGCATGCCAAGCCCTCCTCCTTGCCCAGGTATCATGCTGACCTGCTAAGCTCCCAGATGCGAACGGCGTTGCCCGAGGCGGCGTACAGCATGGTGCCTGAAGGGCTGAGGGCGATCTGGTTGATCTGATGCTCCCCCTGGGCACTGGTGATGGCACGGGTGGATGTGGAGGCACAGGCGTCCCCTGAGGTCACCTGGCCCGAAGACCTGCCCAAGAAGGAGAAAGGCAAGGCCAGAGATCAAAATTATCCATGTGCACAGTCCAGGAAACCAATAAAACCTCACTAAGACCAGCCCACGTAGCCTACTTCTCCACTTCTTCCGGGAAGGCTTTTTTTTTTTCCTGAGACCCTGTCTCGCTCTGTTGCCCAGGCTGGAGTGCAGCGGTGCAATCTTGGCTCACTGCAGCCTGTGCCTCCCAGGTTCAAGTGAGTCTCCTGCCTCAGCCTCCTGAATAGCTGGGATTACAGGCACCTGTCCATGCCTGGCTAAATTTTGTATTTTAAGTAGAGACAGGGTTTCACCGTGTTGGTCAGGCTGGTCTCGAACTCCTGATCTCCTCATTCCACCCGCCTCAGCTTCCCAAAGTACTGGGATTACAGGTGTGGGCCACCATGCCCAGCCCAGGAAGTCTTTGTTGACTGACAGAGAAGAGCAACAACTTCTCCTATAAGTGAGCCCCAGGGGAGAGCTCCACTCCAGTCCTGGTGAGTCAACTCCCCACGAGGCCTGCCTGTGTGCCTGGTCACTGGCTTGGAAAGATGGTAAGGCTCAGTCATGAGACTGGGCGTGAACCTGGATCTTCCAGAAATCAACCTCCCTCAGTCTCAGTTTCCTCATCAGCTAAAAGAGGTGATTATACCCATTCTGTTTATTTTATTTTATTTGAGATGGAGTTTCACTCGTGTTGTCCAGGCTGGAGTGCAGTGGTGTGATTTCGGCTCACTGCAAACTCCGCCTCCTGGGTTCAAGCGATTCTCCTGTCTCAGCCTCCCGAGTAGCTGGGATTACAGGCATGCACCACTATGCCCAGCTAATTATATATTTTTAGTAGAGATAGGATCTCGAACTCCTGATCTCAGGTGACCTGCCAACCTCAGCCTCCTAAACTGCCGGGATTACAGATATAAGCCACTGTGCCCAGCCTTGTTTACTTTTTTTTTTAAAGACTTTGTTTTTTTTAGACCAGTGTTAGGCTCCCAGCAAAACAGTATAAGATACAGAGATTCCTCGCGTGCCGGAACCCCCCGACAGGCACGGCCTCCCCGTTATCAACATCCCCCACCAAAAGCTGCCTCTGTCTCGATTGGGAACCCATGCTGAGACACGGTTATTGCCCAAGTCCACGGTTTACGTTCGGGTTCACTCTTGGTGTTGCACATTCTGTGGGTTTGAACAAATGTATAATGACGGGCATCCACAATTACAGCATCATACAGAAAAATTTCACTGCCCTAAAAATCCTGTTTCCTTTATTGATTGATTGATTGAGACAGGGTCTTGTTCTGTTGCCCGGGCTGGAGTGCAGTGGCACAAAAATGGCTCATTGCAGCCTCAACCTCCTGGGCTCAAGCGACCCTCCCACTTCAGTCTCCCGAGTAGCTGGGATTACAGGCGGGTACCACCATGCTCGGTTAATTTGAAAATTTTTTTTGTAGAGACAGGGTCTCCTTATGTTGCCGAGGCTGGTCTCGCAGTCCTGGCCTCAAGTGATCCTCCTGCTTTGGCATCCAAAATACCTGGGATTCTAGGCATGAGCCACTGTGCCCAGCCTGTTTACTTTTTTTTTTTTTTGAGACAGAATNAAAAAAAAAAAAGAAAAACAGAAAAGTTTTGTACAAAGTCACACAGGAAGTGAGTTATAAGTAAATCATCATACCTGTTGATTCTAAAGCAATCTGAGAGGAACTGATGGGTCAACCACACAGCCTACAAAGGGATGAGCATTGGCATCAAGCTGTCTGCGGGTATTTTCTTGTTTGTAAACTGGGAATAATTACAGCATCTGCTTCATTGAGCTGTTGTCTGTATTCGATGACAAAAGACCCCTTGAGGGTTTACCCAGTGTCTGGAAAGCAGTAAGTGCTCAGTAAAGTTTAGCTGCTACCATTACAACATGTGAGGGATGCTTGGGAAACGCCGGCACCACAGGACATTCTGGTTGACTGGACCCGAATATGTGGCCTCAAAGCATGAATGCAAAGATTTGATTTGAGCCGGGAGGCTGAGGCAAGAGAATTGCTTGAGCCCCGGAGTTCAAGACCAGCCTGGGCAACATAGCGAGACACCGTCTCTACAGAATAAAAATAAAAACATGAGCTAGGTGTGTGGTGTGCACCTATAGTCCCAGCTACTCAAGAGCCTGGGGCGGGAGGATTATTTGAGCCTAGGAGGTCGAGGCTGCAGTGGGCTCTGATGCCACCACTGCACTCCAGCCTAGGTGACAGAGCAAAACCCTGACTCTAAAAAATAAAAAAGGCCAGGGATGGTGGCTCACGCCTGTAATCCCAGCACTTTGGGAGGCCAAGGCAGGTGGATCACCTGAGGTCGGGAGTTCAAGACCAGCCTAACCAACAAGGAGAAACCCCGTCTCTACTAAAAATACAAAAATAGCCAGGCGTGGTGGCACATGCCTGTAATCCCAGCTACTCGGAAGGCTGAGGCAAGAGAATCACTTGAACCCAGGAGGCAGAGGTTGCAGTGAGCTAAGATCACACCATTACACTTCAGCCTGGACAAGAGTGAAACTCCATCTCAAAATAAATGAAAATAAAAAGTAAACTGCTCTGAGGCTATTCTCAGTGATTAGGGCTGGGAGGAGTCTGGAAATCTCTACTGTACAGTCATCACAGGTCGCTGAGGGAGTCTCAGGCCAAGACCTGCTTCCAGCAGAGACTCTCCACCTTCAGCTGTTTACTATATTAGGGATCTACACAAGCACTGATTTCAGGAAAGGATTCTGCTAAGAAGAAGGTGGCGAGGAAGGGAAGGAGTTTTAGAACCACTGAGAGTGCAACCCCCTCCTTTTACAGATGCGGACTTGAGGCCCATAGAAGTTCAGAAAGATCTGCCCCTGAATCACACAGCCAGGGAGTTCTCTGCAGGTCCAAGATGAGAATCAGGCCTCCTCACTCCCTGCGAGGCCTGTCCACCACTCTGGTGGCTTCAAATCCAATGCTGCCTCCAGGGGGCACTATACCCCTTGTATTATACATGCATGGCACCTCCCTGGAGCCCTGTAACCTCCGGGATCTTAGCAATTAGAGAACTCCAAGCCCCGGTGCCATGGAAAAAGATCACAGCTACAGCAAGCATGTCTTCTGTGTGTACTGTGCCTCACAGAGGTGGGCAGGCTTTCTCTGTATGGGTTGGATAGTGAATATTTAGGCTCTACACATCACACGGTCTCTGTTGTGTAGCCTCAACTCAGGCATGGAAAGACAACAGTAGCTATAGGCAGTAAGTAAACCAGCCTGGCTGTGTTCCAATAAAACTTTATTTATGGATGCCAAGATTTGAATTTCATATCATGTTCACATCTCACAAACATAGTCATCTTTTTATTTTTTCAACTTTTTTTTTTTTTTTTTTTTTTTTTTTTTTTTTTTTTTTTTTTTTTTTTTTTTTTTTTTGAGACAGAATCTTGCCCTGTCACCCAGGCAGGAGTGAACAGCTCACTGTAACCTCTGCCTCCCGTGTTCAAGCGATTCTCCTGCCTCAGCCTCCCGAGTAGCCAGGATTACAGGTGTATGCCACCACGTGTGGCTAATTTTTTGTATCTTTAGTGGAGATGGGGTTTCACTGTGTTGGCCAGGCTGGTTTCGAACTCCTGACTTTGTGATCCACCCACTTCGGCCTCCTAAAGTGCTGGGATTACAGGTGTGAGCCACTGTGCCTGGTTTACTTTTTAAGGATCAAATTAGCAGGCTGTGGCTTACAATGTTCATGTGAGAATGTAGTGTGACTTTTGCTAAAAATCCACTTGTGCCACAAGCTCTTGGTCTCAGTTCTGCCTCCCCTGCCCTGTGTCTGTGTCTGAGGCTGTCGGGACAGGGCTCAGGGCCGTGGCTGGGTGGTAACCCACACAGGCAGTGCCCAGCACGGCTTTAGGAGCTCGCCCTGTTTCCTCAGCTCCCCTTTCAGATTCGTAGCATGATATCTAACACACTTCAAGAGGCAGGGCTTGGGGCACTGGGCAGTGGGTGGAGGCCAGGCAGGCCAAAAACTCCTCTAGTGGTCCCGCCCCACACGCTGTCCCCCAAACTCGTACCCCAGGGTCAAGCCAAGTTCATAGGCTGCGAATGGCTTTTGTGCCCATGTAGCCGGGCTGTGCTGTGCTGAGTAGGTCACGGGCTGGGAGCATCGGCACCCCACCAGGCCTGCTGCAGCCCACCACTGTGATGTACGCGGCGGGTACTCACGTGAGGGTGCGAATGCACTTGGCCGAGTCCCGGATGTCCCACACCTTGATGTAGGAGGTGGACACGGAGAACACAAGCCCTGAGTGGCTGCAGTACTTGATGGAGACCACGTTGTTGGGGTGGCCCTTTAGAGCCGCGATCTCCTGCCCCGTAACCAAGTTCCACATCTTGCAGCTTCGGTCTGCGAGAGATGGGAGGAAGCCACAGGGAGGGGTGGGAAGTCAGCCACTAGGGGGCGTAGCTTGCCTCTGCAGGGGCTGCCAGGGTAGGGGAAAGGGACCCAGAGAGCTCCAGAGGACGGAGCTCCGGGTCCGAAAGAAACATGCACACGTGTGCTCACTGGCATGTGTGTGTGCTCGTAAAAAACTCAGGGGAGAGAGAATTCTCTAAGAACTTCAGACCAGGGTTCCTCAATCACACTTCCCACCAACACCAGAGTTCTGTGAGCCACCCTGCTAAGGTGTCCAGGGCTAAAACAAAATTCTTAAGCCTTTATGGTGCCTGTTCCTCCACACGCTAATTGCTGACACACTAAATGAACCAGTACAAGCAAATGTTATGGGAAAACGTGGAATCAATCAATCACACTTAGATTGACAGCTATCTATATTGCCGTAGAGAGCTGTTTATGCTTGTGTTTCTAGTATGCGTGTCTATGACAGACTAGTTCTTTCTGCTGGTAAAAGAATGAACGAATGAATGAAAAGTAAATAAATAATTTATTTATATATTTACTTATTGAGATAGGGTCTTGCTCTGTTGCCCGGGCTGGAGTGCAATCGCACAAACACAGCTCACGGCAGCCTTGACCTCCTGGACTCAAACGATCCTCCCGCCTCAGCCTCCTGAGTAGCTGGGGCTACAGGCCCATGTCACTGTGACTAATTTTTTATTTTTTGTAGTGACAGGGTCTCACTATGTTGCCCACCCAGGTAGTCTCAAACTCCTGGGTTCAAGCGATTCTCCCGCCTCATCCTCCCAAAGTGCTGCCATCACAGGTCTGAGCCACTATGTCCGGCCTGTCTGCTGGTAAAATGTTTGACACTGTTGCTGTAATTAGGTGAATGTGGCTTTGTGGAGTGCTGCTGCTGAGATGACAGGGAGTGCTTAGCTGTATGAGCTGGGGTGATGTCAGGAGCGCAAGTACAGGCGGGGTACCCAAGAAGCTTCCTGAAGTTTCCCTGGGAGGTCTGGATGGAGCCGCCAGGTCAGGTGTGAGGGAAGGCTTGGCCAAGGATGCAAGGGATGGGGGCCTTGAGCCAAGGTAAGAAACAAGGGTAGCAAGCAAATCAACCCCCATATCCTCAACTCCTGGGAGGATACGTTTTTATCTCCTTCACAGACCACTCTGACAACGGAAGCAGAGGTGAGCAGGAGACCCTGACCCTACCTTGCTAGTTGGGGTTCCACGCACCTTTGGACCCTGTGAACAGCAACTCATCTGTAGCATCCAGGCAGAGGATGGGCTTGGTGTGGCCTTCAGCCATGGAGACACACTGCAGCGGGGCCGTCCGTGCACCCTTGGCTCCTCCAACCGGGGAGATGATGCCCCTTCCCGAGAGAGAGGGAGAGAGGGCACGCTCGTCAGCCAGGGAGTCTGTGGCCAGGCTGATTGAGGCACGTGCGTGGGACGGGGTCAGGGCAGGGAGGGGATGAGGGCCTAATAACAGAGGCTTCAAGGACTCTAGCCAAATTCCATCAAGGTCTGAGAGCCGGGAACAGGCTACAGAGTAGAGACAGCCTGTCTTAATCAGCAGTCTGTCAGCTGCCATGCTGAGCACTTCTGGGGAAGCAAACCCTGTGTGAGGCACAGCTAGAAGGCGCAGGAGGTATGGGCTCTGTTCTCAGAGTCCCCGCCTGACGCTGCCTGACCCGATCCTGAGACGTGAATGCACCTGGCCCAGTTGGGCAGGGCAGAGGCCCAGGGGCTGGAACAGGGCCCTGTAGCTCTCACCAGAAGCTGCATGCTGCTTCAGTGAACAAGTGCGAGGGAGGGCTGCAGAGACGGAGGGGTGCTCAGGCCACCATCCCCATGCACCCTGATCCCAATAAGCCCTTCTGCCAGTGACTGCCTCTGGGCCTGGCATCTTCCAAGCAGAGAGCCATGTGCATACACACACACACCCCTTTTGGACCAACAGGGACAAACCTGTGACTGCAATTTATAAAGGGCTAAATCCCTTAGGAGCTGGCTTGGCTTCAGGGCAGGTTTGGAACTCTCTGGAATGGGGCTGCATAGACCTGGCACGGCACCTCCTTGCTCCCCTGATACTGGGGGAGCAGGAATGAGGCTGGCGCAAGCATGAAGATTTTGCCACATCCAGCTTCCTGAGGTTCTGAGGATGATTTTTTTCTCAGTGAGGGACTTCTGGGATGAGACCCTGGCTCATTTTCAGAAATATATGTCTGAAAATATATCCCAGCTCTGTTTTTCCCCAGAGAACGCTGCTCCTGACCGTGACTCTGTGGCCAAGGATCTACTGAAATGATCAGCGTTCTGCCCGTGGCGCTTCTCACACAGCTCCCGCCGACTCTGCCAGGCCCGCCCTTGAAGATGGTGGTCAGATACATCTAGCTGCCAGCTGGGTGCCACACATGCACAAATAGCTCCCCAAGCTGCCCTGGTGCCCCGTTCTGACCCTGGTTTGGCCTCACTGCATGGCCATGGAACTGCGTCAAAGGGACCACGCCCCCCTGCTGACAGCCTGGCCAGCTGGCTAACGTCTTGCGGCGGTAAAGCCTCATGACCCGCAGTAAGCCTGATGTCAACACCCAGGGCTGGAGGCTCACGGAGTGGAGACAGCCTGCCAGGAGAGCCGAGGAAGCTCTCAGATCATGAGGGGCCCCTGGCTTGTCAGGGGCTCGGGCCCCAGGTCCTGAGTCTTGCTCCTCATTGTGGGGTGTTGTGCTGGGCCGGCTAAGAGAACTGGCCTCCAGCCAACCCATAGGCTGCAGGGAGGGGAGGAACCCACACATCTGTGCGCACCAAGGGGTGTGGGCAAGGGGCACTGCCCCCTTCATGCCCCTCCCAGAGCCAATGTCTGAAGAGCTCACCCCCAGCACAAGCTGAGGTAATCAAAGGACCCAGAGCACACCACCGGCACTCGCAAAAGGAGTGGCCCTAGCATGTCCCCTGCCTTCCAGTCGTGGAGCACTCAGCCCAGCCCAGCATCACCCAGCCTCCATGCTGCACCCCCTCCCTGCCCAGGTGAGGAGGGAGAAGAGAATAGGGCTTGCGACAAGCAACTCTGCGCCCTCCCCAAGCCCCCAGCTCCAGCCGGCGCAGTCCAAGGCCTTGTGGCCACCCTGAGAGGGAGGAACCATGGGGTTGGGGACAGGGACAGGTCTGGAGAGGGGTTCGGCAGGGAGGGGAGTGGAGGGGCTGCATGCTGAGGACACGGGTGTCAGGCGGGAGGGGTGCTGCAAGAGGCAGAGAAGAGAGGGTGCCGAGAGCAAGAGTGGGGAGCAAACACGAGAGACGTTCTGTGTGTACCTCAGGACCTCCGACAAAGAGGAGTCGCTGTCATCAGACCTGGGGAGGGCAGAAAATTAGCTGGATTAGGGGGTGAGAGGAGACGCACACACAGGGACGCAAAGGCGGCAGCAGCGTGGGGAGGTCAGAGGGCAGGTTATTCTCTTCCAGGGGAGTGGAGAGAGGCAGAGGAGTGAGGGCCTCAGGAGAGCAGGGGAGGAGGCAAGGGGACTGGCCTGGGACCTGGGACTCTCCCCCAGGAGTGGGCCATCAGGGTCTCTTGGCTGGCAGGGGAGGAGCGAGGAGGGGGCCATGGGGAGACGTGGGAGCACCAGCTCCACACGTGGGGAGACGGCTCCGGGGCTGTTTGCTGGTTCCAAGCTCTCTGGCTGCCCCATTGCACAAGCTGGGGGCACCCACCCCACCCCAGCAATGCTTGTACCTGCCCAAGGCTGAAGGAAGCCATGCCTGATTCTACCCCTCCCTGGGAGCTGGCTTCTTCCAGCAATTCCTCAGGGGCTCACTTATTTAAAAAGCCCACTGTCCCCCGGGGGCCCACTGGGCAGTGCCTAGAAGTTGGCTCGGCGTCATGCACAGGCTCTGTGCATGCACCTGGACCGCCGGATAAGACCAAGGCTTCCAGAAGACCACCAAGCTGGGATGGGCAGTCCTACCCCAATCCTTCCAAAACGGGGACCTGTTGATTCTAACAACATGGAGATGGGCTAGGCGTGGTCCCTGGCTCCCCCTACAGCAGGCTGAACCAAGATGGGTTTGGAGCAGGAGGTGTCTGGGGTGCTAGGTCTGCAGGGCTCTGCTTCCTGGGCTCAGCATTCATCGAGTAGTATTTTGACCCAGGAAGGGGCATTTCTGTGGGAAGGTGAGGAGGGTGAGTGTCAGGCACTAGGTACAAGGACAAGTATTTTCTAGTCTGAATCTCCCCTGAATGACACAGCACTGTCACCCTGGGGTAGGGAAGCTTTCAGTAATCTAAGAGAGGAGCCCTCTTGGGGGCTGGAGAGAGCAAAGTAGGGCCAGGGTAAGCCCAGCAACGCTGGAAAGCCCAGAGCAGGACATGGAGAACAGGGTCCTCCCCTGTCCTGAGGCACAGCAGGCAGGAGCTGGAAGTCCCGGGCTGTGACTGCAATCCTGCCACTTTCTAGGTGAACGTCCCTGGCTCCCTCTTTGAGCCTCGTTCCCTCTTGTGTGAACTAGGGAAGACAATTCGCGTTGTTGTTTCTTAGCCTAATGAAGTCACATATATGAAAGCAGGTTGTAAAGCACAGGGCGAGTGCCTTCTAGATGCAGCGGCGGCTAACACAGACCACAGCGTTAGTCATCAGAGACTCGTATCAGGAGCTGTGAATATAGGTGGACCTGCACCTGCCTTAGGAAGGCAGTCTGGGGGTCTGGTCTGGTCTCTTTCTTCTGGGAGAGTGCACAGAGTGGAGTGGTTGAAGCTGAAGGAAGGGGCTTCAGAGCAGACTCAAAGCAGAGCAGAGGTGATTAAAGGGCAGCTCTGGAGAGCCCTCGGGCACCTGCCCCACGCGGCTAGCCTGCCTAACTGCTCAGCCCCAATCCCTGCGGCCTCCTTCTTGCCCTCTCCTGAGGGCCCAGCATGCTGAGGGGAGGAGAGCGGCTCCTGGTCAGTACAGGAAGGAGAGAAATGCCAGGAGAGGGCATCAGGGCATTTCTCTGGTGCCCTCTGCTGGTGTTTCTCTGGGAGGGGCTGGAACTTCAGGCTGGGGTCGGCTTGGCCGCCTGAGCCCTCCTCCAGCAAGCAGTGTCTACGTGCTCCCCACTGCCACCTCGGTGCCCTCCCTCCTCACCCCTCTGCCCTGCTTACTTGTCCAGCGCTGACCCCTGGCTCTGATTACTGGTGAGACGAGAGAAGACATTGCGGTCATTGCGGGGCCGAGTGGGAGGGGACGACGGGGGTGTGAATCCCACATCTGTGGACCTGGTGGGTCGGGACGGAGGGCAGCCTGTTAGTGACCATCCCTGTCCACAGGCCCGCACCTGGTGCTGGGCTTCCACCTTCTGTCAGGGCTGTGAGGCCTGTGGGGCAGGGCCGGCTGTGCAGTATTCTCAGAGCTCAACTCCCAGCTAAGCTCCTGGATGCTGTCTTTAAGCATCGATCCTCATCATTCACAGATTCCATATTTGGGAAGTCACCTATTCGTTAAAATGTACTTGTGGCCAGGTGCGGTGGCTCATGCCTGTAATCCCAGTAAATTGAAAGGCCTTGGTGGGAGGATTGCTTGAACTTAGGAGTTCGAGACCAGCCTGGGCAACAAGGTAAGACCTCAACTCCACAAGTAAAGTAATTATGCAGGCATGGTGGTGTATACCTGTAGTCCCAGCTATTTGAGAGGCTGAAACAGGAGGATCGCTTGAGCCTGGGAGGCGGAGACTGCAGTGACACGATCAGGGTCACTGCACTCCAGCCTGGGTGATGGAGTGAGACCCTATCTCCAAAAAGAAAACAATCCTCCTGCCCCCCACTAAGGCAGGTGGCAAGAGACCATCTTGAGCCCTTGCTTTCCCACTATCTAGCTGCGCGCCACCAAACCTCTTGCTCTGTGGGCCTGGCCCGCATGCAGGTGACCGGCTGGGGACTTCCCTGCCATTCTGCATTGATCTCTTTTTTCCTTGGAATTTCTAATCTCCTCTCACACAATAAGGCCTTAAAAAGACCTGAAAGCTCCCCAGAACCCATGGTCATGAAAAAGGGCTGAAGCACATCAGTGTAATGACCAATCCAAGCCACTCCAAAGCCCTCTGTGTTGGGTGCACAGCAGCCGTTTCCAGCTTCTGGCTCGGCTATGCGGTTTAAGGTATGTTACAGAGATTACATTTCTTTTTCTTTTCTTTCTTCTTTCTTTCGGAGACAGAGTCTCTGTCACCCAGGCTGCAGTGCAGTGGCACAATCTCGGCTCACAGCAATCTCTGCCTCCCAGGTTCAAATCATTCTCATGCCTCAGTCTCCCGAGTAGCTGGGATTACAAGCATGCACCACTGTGCCTGGACAATTTCTATATTTTTAGTAGAGATGATGGTTCACCATATTGGCCAGGCTGGTCTTGAACTCCTGGGCACAAGTGATCTGGCCATCTCAGCCTCCCAAAGTGCTGGGATTACAGGTGTGGGCCTTCACGCCTGGCCCATTTCTTGAGTCCACACCTGACAGGGTGGGGAAGGGACCACTGGGTGAAGCCGAATGGCTCAGGTAAGCTGGCCCAGCTTACACCACGCAAGGTAATCTACAGAGCAGAACATCACAGCCTCTCATGTACCCAAGGACTAGACTGGTGGTGACTCCAGAGCGGATTCTAGAACATGTTCTCACCTAATGGGCTGCCCTCGGTCGTAGGACTTCCTTCTCGTCAGCGGGGATGTCTCTGTGCCTCGAGACTGCCTGGGGCTGGAACAGAAGAGTCCAGTGAGGTCCAGACGCAAATCCACCCCCACCCCAATCCACATTCCTGCTCCCGTCCTTACAAAGTGCTGCCCCGGGTAGGCAGGCTGACAGTGCGAGAGACCTTGTCCCGGTAATAGGGGTCTCGGACGGAGAAGCCCACGCCATCCTCTTTGATCTCCACAAGGGAGGCCAGGGACTTGGTGATGTTCTTGGTGGAGATATCCAGTGGGGGCCCCAGGCACTCGGCCGACACAGCTTTCATTTGGGCAGACAGCTTGGGCTCGCTCTGGGAAAGAAAGAACAGAGTGGATCCACTTGCCCAAATGGCACGGCACATAAAGGGAAGCCAGGGGAAATCCTACTTTTTTTTTTTTTTTTTTTGAGACACGGCCTTAAAAAAAGTGGAGTACAGTGGTGCAAAATGGGTCACTGCGGCCTCAACTTCCCAGGCTCATGTGATCCCCCCACCTTAGCCTCCCCAGCAGCTGAGACTACAGGCACATGACACCACACCTGGCTAATTTAAAATTTTTTTCTGTAGAGATGGGGTCTCGCCATGTTGTCCAGGCTAGTCTTGAAATCCTGGGCTCACAAAATCCTCTTGTCTCAGACTCCCAAAGTGCCAGGATGACAGGGTAAGCCACTGCACCCGGCCCGCCCAGAAATTCTAACAAGAGAAATGGTGCTATCTTGGCCTAAGGTAGGGGACCCGATGGAAGGACCCAGGCAGACATCACCAGTGCTCCACGGCGAAACTCTCAGGGTCTTTGGAGCATCCAGAGAAACTGAAATTGTTTCACTGCCCTTAGTTGGACTACGTAAACACAGAATGCCCAGCCTGACTTCTCTGCTGCTCACCAGCTCATCAGTTTACCCCAAAACCATGCATAATTTGCTATTCCCAGTCTGCAGTGTTCTCCCTCCTTGTCTCCTTAATAAGCCCTATGTCTTGGTTCAGTCTAGTGAAACTGATCCCTTGATGTTAGGTAAACTTCCTCATTGCTGATTCTCCTATGGTTGAATCAACTGTGTGTATGTAAGGTAACCAGACATTTCGAGTTAGGTTTTGACCAAGCGTGTGGGGCAGAATCGCTGGGGGGTGGGGGGAGGTGATGTTTTTGAATGCAGGGACCCTGGTTCTGGTGCTGTTGCTAGCAGGGTGGCCACAGAGGCTAGCGGTGACTCCAGCCACTTCCCCCTCCTTCCACCCACCTCAGAAGAAATGGGCTGTAACAAGTTACATATCTGAACAACCCCAAATTCCAGGCTAAATTTTCTTGGCACCTCCAACCCAGCTGGGGACAATCTTGTGTTGTGGCTGAGGGTGGAGCAGTGCCACAGTAAGTGGGAAACGGGCTGTGGGGAGGCTGGCCCTGCTGCATCCACTGCCTGCCTGCCTGCCGGCGGGGCTCACCTTAAACTTGAAATCATCATGGCTGGTAGAGCCTTTCATGGTGAACGACTGGGAAAAGCTGAGGAAGAAGCAGAGAGAGTTCAGGAGGTTCAGCCCTGGGACCTATGGCAACTCCTCCCACCAGCCCCAGGCACCTGCTGTGAGCCAGCCTCTCACTGCCAGCTCGTAAACTCACCTCCCCTCAGAGAACTCTGAGATCTCCTCATCTGTGCTGGCATAGCCGTTTTCTGTGGGAAGGAAGGAGGGAGAGAAAGAGGGTGAGAGGCCCCGTTCAAGAGTTGGAGAGGGAAGATGTCTCCCTCCTGCATGTCACCTGCTGCAATCAGACCGGGGCTCCTGGTAGGGCCTGGGGGTGGTTCTGGGGAAGTGAGGGCCTCCTGGGGGTCCGAGCCCAAGAGCACTGGAGTGCCGAGGAGCTGGCAGCGTCCGTCCACCCTTACCCATACCCTGCTGCACGTTGTAGATGAGGGCCTGCAGCTCGGGGTGCGCCTCGGCCTTCTCACGCAGGGCGTCCAGGAGCAGATGGTTCTGGGAGGACCCCGCCATGTCTGTCTGCCTCAGTCGGCCCTCCAGCAGCCGGATCTGGGCTTCCTTTTGTGCCACCTGCAGCCCCTGGGGGCAGGGAACAAAGCCTGGAGTTACCCCTCCTGGCCTGGGATTGGGGGTTCTCCATGTCGCATAACCTCTACCCCTCAAGATACCTTGGAGGGCCCCTTCCAGCTCCAGCATCACCCATGTACCTGGCACACGCCTGGGAGAACTCCCAGCCCCCTCAGCTTCCACATACACACATCAGGGAAGCTCACCTCAGGACACACCTATTATAGGCCAGGTTATGTCCCCCCAAAACTCATATTCGAAGCCCTAGCCCCATTACCTCAGAATATGACTATTTGCATATAGGGCCTTTAAAGAAGTGACTGGGGTCATACAGGTGGGCCCTACTTCAATATGGCATCCTCATAAGAAGGGGAGATTTGGACACAGACAGGCACAGAGCGAAGACCATATGAGGATGCAGGGAGAAGACAGGCCCCAGGAGAAACCATCCCTGCCAACACCTTGACCTTGGGCTTCCCACCCTCCAGAACCATGAGAAAATAAACCTCTTGTTTGAGGCTCCCAGACCGGTACTTCGTTATGGCGGCCCTGGCAAACTCAGAGAGTCCCCAGACACGAAGCAGAGCTGGAAGAAGCTCAGTGGAGCCGGGGGAGGGGTCAGGTGGCAGAGTCTCCCACCTCCTTCCAGCCTTACACGGATGCACACCATGTAGGGCCTGTCCCCAGAGACCACAGGCCCCAGGAGGGAAGGAGGCACATCCTCTGGTTAGCTCTCTGTCAAGGAGAGAGGAGAGGAGCCCAAGAAACGCCAAGGAACACCTGACACTCTGCTGTGAGCCCCCGGGTGGGATGTGGTCTATCTGTCTGTCCTTCTCCTGCTCCCACATACACACACTTTTCCCTCTACCTCCAACGGAACCAAGCCCAGCACTGCTTTGAACACCTGCGCCAGACACCCCAGGTCAACTCTAACAGAGGCTCTGCTGTGTGTCAGGTGCCAGGCCACGCGCCCCCACCGCCAGCATCTCATTCAAGCCACGCCACAAGCTACAAGCTTGGTATGGTCATCTTCTCAGCTTCACAGCTGTGGTGTGGGCGGTGCGGAGGTTGGGCGGCTTGTCTCAGCCTGTGAGTGATGCAGGTGAGGAGGAGCCAGGACCCCGGGCTTCACACTAGGGTATGCCACGGGCATCTGTGCCCATGGAGCTTCCAGCTTACCTTGTCAATGGATGCCTTGAGGAAGTTGTCTAGCAGGAGGCGGGCTTCGGCCAGGGAGCAGGAGCTGATGACCACGGATGTGTCTGTGGAGTCCAGCTCCTCCTAGGACCGGGAGGCAGAGAGCCCTGTCACCTGGGGCTGCCCCTGCCACCCACCCCGCCCGCCTCCGCCCACCAGGCCCAGCCCTGCGGATACCTTGGTCTCCTCCAGCTGCACGATGGTGGCCTGGCAGTCAGTGATGCTGTCGTTGATGTAGTCGATGTTGGCTGCCAGCACCTCGATCTCCTCGGCCAGCTCCTGCAGCCCCTTCTCCTCCTCGGGGCTCTCAGCCTGCAGCCGCTCCCGCTTCCTCCGCAGGGCCTCCTGCAGGAGGAACAGCTCCTCCCTTTTCTGGGGTCAGGAGATGATTGCGATGGAGGAGTGGTCTCAGGTAGCTGCCCAGCCCTGCCCACAGCTCCCACCACAGGCTGGTCCGTGAGGTCCCCCCAGCACCTCTGAATTCCAGGCACAATGAGCAGAGGGAGTGGGGGACGGGGAAAGGTCTGAAGAGCCGGAGAAGTTGGAGGTGACAGAGGACAGGCAGAATGGTGGGATGGGAGAGAAGGGGGAGGAGGGCTCACCTTGATGAGCCGCTCCATGTCAGCCTCCAGGTTGACAATGGTCATTCTCTGCATGACGATGTCAATGATCCGCCGCTCTAGGGACTGCCACTTGAGCCTCGCCGCCTTACTGAAGCTCTGGCTGGCCCCCTTCTTCTGGAACTTCTTTCTGAAAGATACAGGCAAAGGGGATTGGATGGGACTCCTTTTAATCTCTGCAGCTCCACTGAGCTCCCTCCCTGGAGTTGACAGTCGTGGGAACCCGGAGCACTCTCCAGAGCTTCCCTCTCCCTCACCCAGGTCCTGCCGCATATTCTCACCCCCTCTGCCTGCACAGGCCAGGGTACTGCCAGTCCACCTTACCGGGCAGGACGGGTGCCATTGACACTAGGTGCAGGGTGGTCCCCCAAGAAGTGGTTGATTTTGCGGTTCCACTGGCGCACGATGCTGGAGACAGAGCGGGCCCCTGATTCAGCCTCAGATGAGGTGGTGCTGGCCGACACCTCGGCCCCAGAGTCCAACATGGGTGGCTTCAGTCCTGCACGCCCTGCTACCCGCTCAGACATGGGCTTGGCCAGGCGCCTCAGTGCAGAAACCTGGGGCAGCGGGGAGAAAAGAGGGAGCTGGTGAGCAGGGTGGCCTGGAGCCACACAGAAGGGCCCAGGTTGGGGTGCCAGGCAGCAAGAACACAGAGGCTGCTCTGTGCTGGCCCGGGCTTGGGCTGCAAAAGGGCCAAGGGGTCTCTGTGTGATGTGACATGAACACAAAAGAGGCCGCCATCTTCTTTTTTTTTTTTTAATGCACAGCTCAGGCATTTGGGAACGAAGCCTGCAGTCTACCCTGCAGCCTGAGCTCTTGTTGAGAAAAGTCCATCTAATAGGCTGGACACAATCTGGACACCGACTATGCCTGCTGAATGGAGGGAGGGAGAGCCAGGGTCACAGGCAGGGCTTGCTTCCCCTCCCTGCCGGCTCTGGCAGAACTGGGAAATACCACCTTTATTCCACTGCCAGGAAGTTGGAGGCATAAAAAAGAAGGCAAGCAACGTACGCACGCACACTCACATGTGCAGGAGCAGGGCCTCACCAGCCCACGAGTAAGCTCACCTCCTGGGTCTTCCTCCTTAGGACCATCTCCTGCTGCCGCTTCTGGGACTCCAGAGCTCGAATCTGAAACTGTGGGAGACAGAAGAGGGCTAGAGTCCACGCTCAGGCACCTTGGCCCCCTCTGTCTGCACATGGGCTGGCCAGCTCTGTAGTTAAAAGCCTGGGCTTCAGGGTGATTTTCATGTAGCCAAACTCTTGATAAAGTGGGACCCAGAGTTGAGCTGCCCTCCCCAGCGGTTGCAGTAAAGTCCCCTTTCTCCACAAGGGCAATTTCCTTAGCCTCTTCTTCCCTCCAGTGGGGAGGAATCCTGGCACGGAGGGCTTGGCCCTATTGGGCTTCTCTGCAGGGCCTGAAGCTGCAAATTTCTGGCTTGCTGGTTACCTTGGGCAAGCTCCTTCGCCCTCTCCAGGGCTCAAGTCCCTCCTCTTAATATGTGGGGGTAGGGCCAGAAGCCACAGGGTCTGCTCTTCCTCTAACAGGCAGCACTGTCCTCCAAGCACGGCCATTACCACTTAGGACAGTGGAGACTGAGGCCTGCTTGGTCAGGAGGGGCAACCAGCTGCACCAGGAGGCTGGGAGAGCTAGGGCCAAAGGCTCCTGGGAGGCCCAAGGGCCACCCCTCACCTCCTGTCGCCGCTGCTCCTTCTTGAGCTGTGCGATCTCCCGGTTCCTCTTGGTCTCCACTAGCCGCCGCCGCTGCTGCTCCTCACGCATCTGCTTCATCAGGGCCACCTGGGATGGACAGAGGTGCTGGTGCTGAGACAGGGCTAGGAAGCAGCTGGCCCACACTCTCCAGGGAGGGGCCAGCTCTGAGGACAGGGGCAGGGATAGTGGTGAGCCAGGCAACACTGGCTCAGGGCTGGGGTTCTGAAGTGAGGGGTTCCACCTCCCACTCCTCCATAGGAGCTGAAGCCACCTGGGCGACCTGCCAAAAGGAGTGGCCTCAGAGCCAGCCCGGCAGTGCAGGTGCCCACTCTGCAGGACCCAACCATGGCTCTCCCTGCTCAGAATGCCACAGCCCCTGGTGGCCCTCACCCACAGCCACTGTCCTGTGTCTAGCCATTCCAGAACTGGCCTGGGTTGCTGGAGGCAGGTAATCCTCTCCCTTCCTGGAGGCAGAGCTGCAGACAGGGCTGAAGTGAAGGTCAGGGCCTCCATGGCCACGCTCACAGTGACAGAAATAAAAACCACCATTATTTACTGAGATCTGGCTGCATGCCAGGCACCCTCTTCATGACAATCATGAGAGAGGCATTATCGTTCCTGTTTTATAAACAAGGAAATGAGCCTCAGAGAGACAAAGGGACTTACGGTCATAAAACTAGTAATGGATGGCTGTATTCCGATAACAAATCATTGCTTCTCAATCTGGCTCTTCCTGTAGTCCCAAGGATGGCTCCATGGGAGGTCAGCAAAGCTAGGGACCAAGTGCTAGGGACCCCAGAGTTGTTGGAAATGTAGCCAAAGGCGCAGAGAGCACCATTAGTGTGGCCGGGGGTGACCCAATGTGCTGGGGAGCCACTGACGTGGGGTCCTGTGGCATCTGTTCCCTATTCCTGGTGCCCAGAACATAGAAGTGTAATGAACACAGGGCTTTGGACACCTTCCAAGAGACAGGGGCATGAGAAACAAATGACAGTCAATCCTTCCTCTGCCACTGAAGCCTCGGACACTACCAGGAATGTCACCAATCTGCCCTGCCCTCAGAACAGTCAAGAAAGGAAATAGGCCAAGCACAGTGGCTCACACCTGTAACCCCAGCACAAGCACTTTGGAGGCTGAGGTGGAAGGACTGCTTGATTCTAGGAGATCAAGATCAGTCTGGGCAACACAGTGAGACTCTGTCTCCACCAAAAACAATACAAAAACTAGCCCGGTATGGTGGTGTGTGCCCACAGTCCCAGCTACTCAGGAGGCTGAGGTAGGAGGACTGCTTAAGTCCAGGAGGTTGGGGCTGCAATGAGCTATGTTAATGCCACTGCACTCCAGCCAGGGCATCAGAGCAAGACTGCCTTTTTTTTAAAAAAAAAAAAAAAAAAAAAAAAAAAAGAAAGAGGAAATGGCATGAGAAAGCAGGGCTAATGGCTAGCAGGGTTGGCTTCTCTCTGGGAGGGTAGGAGGGCAGGCAGGGTCTGTTGGGGTGGATATGCAGAGAACAGGAGGGATTGCCTGCTGCTGGGGCTTTGGGGTCCAGAATGTGTGTTCTCTGAAAGGACTGGAAGAACAAGTCAGTTCTTGTTCCCTGGCTAAAAGTGGACCTGAAAACTCCAGCATCCCAGGAGCTGTGTGCAAACCCAAGGTGTCACGTATCTTCCGGGGTCAGGAGCTTAAGGCTTCCTGGGGAGGTGTTATGTCTTCCTGGTCAAAGTTCCATCCACTTGACTTTGCATGTGTGGTCAAGCTCCATGGTGGCTACCACAGAGGCAAAGGTCTCAGAACAGATGAGTACATTCTAGGCACACAACAAGCAGAAACAGGCCACAGTGCCCAAGATCAGCATTCTCTGCAGGTTTAGGGTGGAAGGCATTGTGGCCTCTCCCTGGGAGACCCTGTGGCTTCAGGCCCCACCCTGGTTCCACTCTGTGAATCGCTGGGGCCCTGCAGCTGAACAGCCATGGGAGGACTCTGGGGCACTGGCTCTCATGGCTTCTGGTTTGAATCCTCGGCTCTGTCCCTCCAACAGAAAACCTGGGCCCCTCCTGGGATGACCCAAGGGTGTTCCTTTCTGCTTCTAGCTCTGGGTTCATAAGAGCAAAGTCACGTGGACAGAGCCGTGCACCTGGCTGAAGGAGCTCAGCAATCCGGAGACGGAAACACAGGTCTACACATGAGCCTCTTGTCTGTCAGATGCATCTTGGCATTATATTATCTGTCAGGCTTCAGAGCCATAGGGATCTTCCCTCATGAGGCTCTACAGGGCCTCTGCAGCTGAGATGTGAGCTGGCCAGGACAGGGTGGGATACCCTGCAGAGGCATGAGACGGAAACCCCCAGAAGACAGAGTGGGGATGCACACAGGTGAACCCAAAAGTGCTACAGAAGCTGCTGCAGAATGTGCAGGCCCCTGGCGGGAGTGCTGCTTCACCCCGGGGATAACCAAGGTCCATCAGTCCCTCCCTCTAAACCATCAGCGGGTGTCTGGGGCCCTGGTGATCTGGGTATTTGAGTCCATACTTGAATCTCAAGTCCCCACAAGGTGTATACACTGAAGGAGATGGTAAAAATGGGCTCTCTGGGACCAGCCCAGGCCAAGCAGGTCTGACCATAGCAAGGCAGGGCCTTCTCTACTCTGCTCAGGTTGATGAAGCCTCTGGACCTACAGCCCAGGCTTGGGGACAGAGCCTGCCCAGGTGAGGTGGCTGGGCCTCAGTGACAGCTGTGGGTCCACCTCTTCTCAGAATTGACATCACTGCACTGCCTCTCTCCTCTGCACACGGAGTCAGCCATGAGGGTGTGGCTACCAACGGCTCCTAGATGCCCCATCAGCCCCAAGTACTGGGGAGCACCCCTTTCCTACGTCTCTGTCTCCAAGGCCAGTCCTTCACAGCATGCTGGGGCTGCCACCAGTGCCCAGGGCCTAGCCCAGGGCTGTGGAGAGCAGGGCTCCACTGATGGCTGAGGGTCAGAGCAGGCAAGAATGTAGGATTGTGAGGGCCCAGGGGGAGGGAGGACTGAAAGGGAGCAGGGATCTGCTGAGCCCCAGGCAGGAGCCAGAACACACCAGACACTGAAACACAAGACCTGAGTCCCCGAAGCCAGAAGCTCAGGGGCCGACCCCGGGCCCCAGAGACTAGAGCACTCTGAGTGGTGGCAAAGTAGAAAAGGGAGGCCTTGTGCCACCCGAAACACATAGTGGTTAGGAGGCAGAGAACCAAGTTCAAATCCCAGTGCTATCTCTTGGGAGCTGGGATTAACTTCTCTGAGCCTCACTTTCTCATTCACAAAGGAAGAATAACAGGACTTCTTTCATGAGGCTCTTCTAGGGACTGAATGTGATCATGTGTGTGAGATGACTAGCCCGGAGCCTGGCCATAGTAAACGTTCAAACGATGGTAACTGTTACTAATATCATTCGGGGCCACGGGTGCCCCACGTGAGGGGCCTCATGTGCGCTTCGTGCAGACCCGAAGCGAGTGTGCCACGGCCTCCCCTATAGGAGGCAGCACCGAGTGGGGTCCCCCGAGATCCTCGTCTGCCTGAACACGACCCCATGCAGCCCCCATCTCTGCACACTGGCCCCACTACTGGTGGGTTGTTTCACCTGGACGATGCTCTCAGCTAAGAGGACCATATCCAGGGCCAAGACGGGGTGAAACTAGGCAATGCTGTGTGCCGAGAAGAGGATCCACACTTGATGGCAATGATTATTTTTACCACGGTGAGTGGATTCCAAGGTGTCACATGCACTCCAGCCCGCACTCCTCGCAGCCTCAGCCCCTACCTTGGCCTTCTTCATCTCAGCCACCTCGGCCTGCAGCTTCTTCAGCTCCCGCTCGTAGCGTGACTGGTTCTTGAGCAGCCGGGCGTGCTCCTTCTGGGCAGCCTGCAGCTTCTGCAGGTCCCGGTTCATCTCCCGCAGCCTCTTCTCATAGTCTGCCTTGATCTTGTTGGCCTTCTCCTCCGTGTAGCACTCCATGGTGCCTGAGAGCAACCAGAGGCAGCTGTTGGTGCTGGGTCCCCAAGGGCTCCCACTAAACATAGGGTCATCAAGGGGGAATGCAGGAGCCTCTGTTCCAGTCTCACTGCATGACCTCGGGCAAGTCACACCCTCTGAGCCTGTTGTCTCATTTGAATGATGCCCAAGGCCCCTTCCTGCTCTGACATCCTATTGGAATGTGCAGGGGTGTTTTTGTGTTGAGATCTCCGAGCCCCTGGTCCCCAGCTTCCCACGAGGGTCCTGTAGCTCACTCATCCTGGCTGGTTCTGACCCATGATCCAGTATTGGAGGAAAGGGCTGGGGCCCGTGGGAAGGGGAAAGAGTTGGCAAGAGAAGACAGAGTGGTGTGGGCCAGGGCAGAAGGAATAAGCTGATTCTCCACTCTCACCCTCTCCTTCCTGAACTACCAACAGACATCTCCAACTTATAGGTACAAGACCCAACTCCTCATTTCCACCCCTGCCCCACCTCAGTACACAGCATCACCTCCTTCCAGAAGCTCACACCCTGAGGCGTCCTTGGCTCCCCTCTCCCCAACACACACCTCCCAGCAATCAGCAAAGCCTTCTACCTCAACCTGCAAAATACACCCAGAGTCTGATTTCTCACCGCCCCCTGACTTCTCACCACCTCTCCTAGGGTCTTGGTAACCGTTTCCTAAGTGGTCTTCAGCTTCCACTTTCATCCCCCCAGTGCAGCAGCCGGGGTCATCTTTTAAAAACGCTTTGACATTCTGCATCACGTAGCTCTCTTGAAACGACACACATCCCATCTCCCTCAGAGTATAAGGCAATGTACTCCCTCAGTGTACAATGATATGATGTGGCCCCACGTGTCTTCTCTGGCCTGTCCCCTCTCGCTGTGCTCCAGCCATCCTGGGCCCCTCGTCATTCTGCCAACATGCCAGGCACATGGCAGCTTTATGGCCTTGGCATCTTCTGTTCCCTCTGCCTGGGAGGCGCTTCCCCTGGCTGGTTCAGCTCCAGCACTCTCTCGCCTCCTGCAAGTCTTTGCTCACATGTCACCTTCCCAGTGAAGTCTTCCACGACCATCTTTAAAAAACACCACCTCGCTCTTCAGCAGTTCCTGTTCCCCTTCCTGGCTACATTTTTTTCATACTTATTGGCATCGAACATGCTATAGATTCTGCTTTTTTGGTTATGTTCGTCTTTCCCCACTAGAATGTGCACTCCATGAGAGCAGGAATTTTGCCCACTCCAATACCTCTAGTACTAGAAAAATGTCTGCTCTATTAGACATATTCAACATGTGATTGCTGAGTAAGTAAATCAATGAACGAACAAATAGAAAATGGAATGAATGGGCTGAAGAGCAGCATGAGGAAGGTACAATGGGAGAAGGTTTATAAACAGGTCCAAAGAAAAAGACTCAAGGAACTGAATGCAGGAGGAAAGGCTGGGAGTGTCACGTTCCCGTGCCTAGGTATATAAAGAATCCTGGCCGGACGCAGTGGCTCACACTTGTAATCCCAGCACTTTGGGAGGCCAAGGCGGGTGGATCATGAGGTCAGGAGTTTGAGACCATCCTGGCCAACGTGGTGAAACCCTCGTTTCTACTAAAAAATACAAAAACTAGCCAGGTGTGATGGCGCATGCTGGTAGTCCCAGCTACTCGGGGGGCTGAGGCGGGAGAATCACTTGAACCTGGGAGGTGGAGGTTGCAGTGAGCTAAGATTGTGCCACTGCACTCCAGGCTGGGTGACAAACAAAAAAAAAAAAAGAGAGAGAGAGAATCCTAATACGTGACATGATAGCAAAAAAAAAAAAAAAAAATCAATTATGTTTCATAGGAACTAGGCTCGCAAGTCCCTTGCCTAGAAGGCCATGACAGCCCCAACACGCCAGCTGCTGTTGACAGAGGAGGGGCTCACGGGAAAGGGAGGGAACGGACGGGGTGGGGGCGTGGCGCTGGCCTTACTGAGGTTCTGCAGCACGCGGTCTCGCTCCAGCTGCGTATCCCGGATCTTGTTCTGCAGCAGAATCAGCTTTTCCTCGTACTGGTGCTTGAGCGTCTGTAGCCGCCGCTGGCTGTTCTCCAGCTCGTCGATGAGCTTCTGCTTGATCTCGATTTCGCACGTCAGGTCGGCCAGGTCCGCCTGGAAGTTCACCTCTACGGGGGCACAGCCAGGCTCAGCCCAGCAACAGGGCAAGGGGCAAAATGGGGGGCAGATGCGCCAGTCCTGGGCGCTGGGACTCTCCTTTGGTCAGCCATGATCAATCAGTGACCAGAGGCTGGGCAAAATGATAAATCCCAACACAGGTAGAATGTGGCCAGAAGGAGCAACACATGTAAAGAGCAGTCCCCGAAAGACAAGGCGGGGCTCAGGAGCTAGCGGGGGTCTACACATCCTTCCCAGCCCAGCTGCGCCCAAGGCCAACATTCACCTGCTGTAGACGACATGGGACCAGCTTGGGTGGAGGAAGGTGGGGCAACTAAGAGCACTTTGCGCGCCCAGGGCCAGCGCTGGCAGCAGGCAGGGCTTAAGGGGCAGCGTCTCCATTTAGAGGAGAGGGCTTTGGCACCAGTCAGGCCTACGTTCACGTTCGCTCTGCATGGACCGCACTGGGAAGGTCACTAAACCCCTGTGAGCTATTCCTCAGTGGTAACATAAGGACGCTCATCACACCTATGCACACAGTTGCAGTGAAGACTGAAAGAACCAACCCATGCCAAGGGTTAAGGTGAGCCCAGTGCCTGGCACCTATGAATGACCAGGAAGGGTTTACTGCCATCACCATGATGACTGCTGTTGTCATTGTTTCATGCTTGGGAGTTCTGGGGCTTGGACACCATTAACTTAGAGAGCTCTAGCAGGGCCTGACCCATCCCCAGGCACTGGCGGCCAGGCATTGCATTCCCCACAGCCCACAGCCCAGGCCCACACACCCTTCTCCTCGGGGTCTGAGTCTGAGTCCACCAGGCTCTCTTCACTGCCCGAGTCCTCATCTTCATCCTCGCGCCCTTCCTCCTCCTCACAGCCACTCTCGTCTCGCTCTTCCTCCTCCTGGGCACCAAGCACCATTGAAGTGGGCCTGGCCTCAGAGAGGGGAGCCCAGAAGCAGAGGTGCGTCCTGACACAGTGCCTCAGGTGTGTCAGGAGGGTGGGGATTGGGACAGGCCACAGCAGAGCCCCCTGCCCACCCCCCGACTCCTGGAAGAGCACCACCTCCCCCAACACCCCGGAGGAATTCCTCTGGGAGGGCCTCCCTGCCTGCATCATCCATTTGGGATGAGGTGGGGGCCTAGGGGAGGGAGATCACCATGGTAACCAGTCAGTGATATAAGGAAGTACAAGGATCAACTGGATGCAGACCCAGCCACCTCCCTCACTCTGTACAAGGATGCGGAGGGGGTCCCCCAACCCCAGCAGCGACATGGGGCGAGCCGTGCTCCTTACCTCCTCTGCCTCATTCTCATCCGTCTCCTCACTGTTGTCCTGATGGAGTTTTGCCCTCTTCTTGAAGGCTTCCTTCTCAGGGCTGCTCAGGGAGCACAGGGAGGCTGGATTAGGAAGGCTACCCTGCCTTGGGTACACATGTGGGGCAGGAGCACAGGAAGGCTCTCACCAGAGGGCGGGGAGGGCACTAGCGCCTACTCTGCAGAGAACCCCGCTATTCTTCCCCAGGGCCACCCAGAACTGACCTTGGCTCAGCTCAGTCTTTCCTCTCCTTGGGGGAAAGCATATGGCATGGGAGAATGTGGGGGAAGGGGGCTGTCCAAAAGGTTGAGCAAGTCTGAGCCATGAATTCCCAAGCAATACTGAGGCAGCCCCTGGGGCTGGGGGAGTGGCGGTTCCCTCCTAAACACGGGTGGGCAGCAGTCCTCCTGGGGGCTGGGCAGTGTCCACCGGGGCGGTCTGAGGGCTCTCGGGGATGGGGACTGCACTCCACTAACCTCTTCCTCCGCTGCCTGACCTCCTTCTTCTTTAGCCTCTCCAGGTCCTGCTTGGCCCTGCGGATCACCTCCGAGGCATCCTCCATGGAGCTGGCCGGGCTGCCCCCAAGGGTCGGGACAGCCGGAGAAGCACCCAGGGAGTACGGGCTCCGAGCGGAGGCCCGTGAGAGGCTGCGGCGCAGCGACTCGTTCATGGCTTCACTCTCCAGGAGCTTCGTCCTGCGCAGGAAGAGCGAGTGGGGCGGGGCCGGGTAAGCCACCAATGCCCTTGGCCTCACCTTTGTGGGGTGGGGGGCAGCCTGCACACGCAGCTCACTCACCGCAGCTCCTCGATCTCCCGGATGTAGTTCTGGATGAGGGCACCAATGGCCTCATTGCCGTCGCCTGGAGTGGGAAGCGGGGAAGGAGGGTGCGATAAAGAAGACAGACAAACCGGGTACGGTGGCTCACACCTGTGATCCCAGCACTTTGGGAGGCCGAGGTGGGCGGATCACCTGAGGTCAGGAGTTCGAGACCAGCCTGACCAACATGGAAAAACCCCGTCTCTACTAAAAATACAAAATTAGCCAGGTGTGGCGGCGCATGCCTGTAATCCCAGCTACTTGGGAGGCTGAGGCAGGGGAATTGCTTGAACCCGGGAGGCGGAGGCCGCAGAGAACCAAGATCACACCATTGCACTCCAGCCTGGGCAACAAGAGCAAAACTCCACCTCAAAAAAAAAAAAAAAAAAGAAGAAGAAAGATAAATAGCAAGGGCCTTCACCTCTGGACTACTGCTCTTACATCTGTGCCTGTAATAGGGTAGCTCATGTGAGCCTTTTCCAAAAAAGGAATCTATATCAAAAAATACTTTGCACAGAGGTATACAAGCACTGTCGGCAACAGCAAGAAACTGCAAACAACCTGAATGCCCATCACTAGAAGCCTGTGATAATAAATTTATTCATCATTATCACATATGGGACACCACGGCAGAAGATGAAGAGAAGTCGGTTTTGTTGTGTTTTATTTTAATTTTAATTTTTTGGTTAGAGCCAAGGTCTGGCTCTGTCGCCCAGGGTAGAGTCACAGCTGCCTACAGCCTCGACCTCCTGAGCTCAGGCAATCCTTCTATCTCAGCCTCCCAAGTAATAGGAACTACAAACATGTGCCATCACACCCGGCTAATCTTTGTATTTTTTTGCAGAGACCAGGTGTCCCTGTGTTGCCCAGGCTGGTCTCAAACTCCTGGGCTCAAGCAATTCTCCTGCCTTGGCCTTGCAAGTTGCTGGGGTTACAGGCGTGAACCCAAAGTAGGTTTAATATGGAAAGATTTCTAAAACAGAATGCTAAATGTAAAAGGAAAGTCTTGGAGCAATATATATAATCTCATACATAGAAAAAGTAGTCTATACAGTACGCACATTAAGAATATATATGAATACATATTCATACTTGAAACAAATACTGAGAAAGGTGTGGGAAAATACACACCAAGCTGCTCACGGAGGTTCCTTCTGAGAACTAGAGCGGGCCTGGGGTGGAGGGTTCAGGGAGAGGCAATTTTAACCTTTCACTTCATTTAGTGATGGGTTGTTTGCATGTTGAACAAGAAGGAAGTGTTCATGTATTACTTGTGCCATACAAAGATGTTTTAAAATCAAGTGAAAAAAATGCATGAATGAGCTGAACTGTGAATTTACTGGCTGGCTTAGCCCACCCGATGCTCTAGGGTGGGTGTGGGGAGAGGGGGTCCTAGCTCGTTGGTGCTCTGAGCTGCCCTGGCACACCCCAACTCACCGGCCTTGGCCAGCAACAGGTTGGCCTCCTGGCTCATGAGCTGGGTGACGCGGTTGTTGATGGCGTCAATGGCCTCCTGCATGGCTTTCACCCGGAGCCGCAGAGCCCCATTCTCCTTCTGCAGCATGGCATTCTCCCGGAACAGGTCACTGTAGCCCTCGGCACCATCCTCCCCGATCACTCGCTTGCCCTGGGAGCAGGGGTGATGGAGAGCGGTCAGGCAGCAGAGCTTGCAGGCGGGGGAAGGGGCTGATGACGCCCCTCCCTCTGCCAGCGCCCTGGCCTTCCCCTGGAGATGGCAGCACCACCATTCTCCCCTGCCACAGGTTTCCTAAAACACAGCTCCTGGCCCCCAGTGCTCAAAAACCTTACACAGTTCTCCTTGACAATAAACAGTCCAACTTTTGTAAGCAGCCACTCAAGGCCTCTCACAATCTTACTTGACCTACCTTTCCACGGTGTACTCTCATGTATCTCCAAAAACACTAGTCCAAGGGTCAAAACCCTCTCTGCAGGCAGCTGGCACAAATGAGTCAGGCTGGGTGTGAGACAATAGGGAGTGGTAGAGACTGGAGCTCAGAGTCCCAGACTCAGTATAAAAGGCGCAGCAGCCCCTATGCCACTCCAGCCAACTTAGTACCAGAAGTAGTTCCAGCAAATCTGAAACTCTCTGACTTTCAGAAAGGTTGACAACTAAGTTGTCTTCTTTTAAAACAAGTGCAAGCCAAACCAAAACTCATCTGTGTGCCAGATTCAGGCCATGGACTACCAGCTGGTGACTTCCGCCTTAGTCACATGGAATTAGACACGCCCCCAAAGGACCCATTTTCTCCCACTCTGTTTCTCTGTGCATGGCTTGTTCCTTACCTAGAATGCCTGTCCCATCTCATTTTGTTGTTATCTCATTCATTCTGCAAAATCCATATAAAAGATCCCTTTTTCCGTGAGGCCCTCCCCGACCGTCCAAGCAGATAAGGCCAACTCTCTCCTCTGCAGCACACTGAAATACTCCTGCGGTCCCTTCTACCAACGATTCTGTGCCAGTCTAGCAGTCTCATCTGTTCCCACACAACACGTTCAGCAGACATGAAAACTCCCTGGAGAGTGTCTTCCGTGTCCAATAAGATCCATGCAACAAAAGCCGGGGAGCCCTTCTTCCTCCAACTTAATATTCTAAAATCCTGAGGGCTCAGACTGTGCGTGATTCACCTGGGTGAGTCCCTAATAGTGAGCATCATGTCTGGCACACAACCGATGCTCAAGAGTCACGTCCAAAGTGGATGGTGGGTGACAGGGAGGTGAGAGTCAGGGTGAAGCTGGGGGAGAGGGCACACTAGCTCCAAGGAGGAGTGCTGGGCAGTGCCCAGGAGCATGCTCACCGCCTTATACTCCATCAGCTCCATCTGCAGCCGGGCAATCTCAGCCCGCAGTGCACTGATCTGCTGGCTGGTCTTGTCCTGGTTCACTACCACCTTGTTCTTGATGTTGCGGGCCCGATTGGCATATTTGAGTGTGTTGAGGGTCTCCATGAAGTCTCGGTCTGAGGGGCTCACACAGGCGATCATGATGGTCTGGCTGGGGGTGCAGAAAGGCTGGTGTGAGGGTGAGGGACCCAGCCAGTCTCCAGAAGCATTGCCTCAGAGCAGAGGTCCTGCTCCCATCCCATTCCCCCACTGCCTTAATGCCCAAAGGACCTGGGCATTCAGGAGGACAGGCCCTGGGACGTGGGCATCTGGACCACCTGGCTGGGAGTTTCCGCGGCAACAGCAGATAACCACAGCAAAGGCAGCTACCAAGGCTAAGGATGCAGTGATACTCAATTGCCAGAGTCCTTTGCTTGGTGATGAGGATGAGCCACAGCCCTGCATTTTCCTTTTTTTTTTTTTCTTTTTTATTATTTTTTTTAAGACAGGGTTTCACCATGTTGGCCAGGCTGGTCTTGAACTCCTAACCTCAGGTGATCTATCCGCCTCGGCCTCCCAAAATGCTGAGATGACAGGCGAGAGCCACCACGCCCCGCCAGCTCTGCATTTTCTAGCATTTCCCATCTATCATCTCATCTGGGCCACAGGGCTTTCCTTAGGAACATCTCCCCCTATTTTACTGATAAGGAAACTGCATCTGACCATAGCTGTCTAAAGGTCATGAAGCACCTCAAGGTTCCTACCTCCCAAACCTGCAGCCTAGGATGGGGCGGCCTCCTCCTCCAGGCAGGCATGTGCCACACCCACACACCAGTATCTTCCAGGAATCTCCCTGCCTCCCCATCCCCTTCCTGGGTGTTGGTCACCAGATACCTGTTGCCCCCCAGCGAGTCCTGGAGGAGCCGAGTGAGCTTGGAGTCCCTGTAGGGAACGTGCACCACCTTCTTGCTCTGGTCCCCTAAGGCGCTGATCACATTGCCCAAGGCCAGCTGCGGGAGACAGACCCTGGCACTCAAGAGTCACCCAGGGAGTGGAGGGAGGAAGGGAGGGACAAGACAATCCCCAAGTCATCTGTACCTGCCTCTCTGGCCCCAGCAGCTCTCTTGCTCTCTGGGTGGGTTTACAGGCAGATGGATACGCTGGTGAAATCGGGAAGTTGGGGGCAGGAATGAGGTCTGGGAGTGAAGGGCTAGCTGGCAAGATGTCCAAGGAGGACTCAGCAGGCATGGGATCGCGGGGCCTTGAAGGGGTCTGAGACTGAGCTGTGTGAGTGGTGGGTGCTGGGGCTGATGACCCGCCATGTGCCTACCAGGCCACAGTTGATGGAGATGCCCTCCTTGGCCCGCTCGCCGGTGGCCCCTGTCCTCTTCAGCCGCTCTGAGCCGGCCAGGTCCACAAAGTGAAACTTAGCGGTGAGTGTCTCATACTCACTGGAGGGAGGGGTACCATCAGGAAGCCCGGTCACCACCTCATTCGCCTGCAGCAGAAGTCAGTTCTGACTCACCCAGCCCTCGCCCACCTCGCTGGCTTCCCTGCTCACAGTACTGCCGACTGGGAGAGGCAGGGCAGACGGCCGAATGTGTTACACCGTCCTCCACACATGCGGAGCATCTGACAGCGTGCACAGTACTTGCACAAGCCTGATTTCCATTTAATCCTCACAACACCACGATAGAGAGATCATTAACCCATTTTACAAATAGGGCAATTGAGGCTCAAGAAAAATACATAAAAATCAACAAATGGCAGAGGCGAGCCTCAATCTTGTTTGCTATCTCTGGATCTGTGGCTCCTCATTGTGCCCTTCCTGGGATGCCCCTATAGCAAGCTGGCTCCCTGACCCCCCGCAGGCTCCTCACCAGGTCGGGCTGGGTGCACACGCGCATCTGGCACAGGTGGATGGTGAAGATGGCGTGGGAGCGCGAGCTCTGTACGTTCATCTGGGTGCTAGCTGTGGTGCGCGACAGGGCCCCCTGCTTCAGGCACTGGATCAGCTGGAAACAGAGGCAGAATTGAGGGATCGGGACTACCGTGGTGCCAGCCCCTGCCTTTTTGGGATGCCCTGGGCCTGTTCCAGACCTCCAGCAGATGCTCACCTCCTCCTGGGAGTGGATGAGGCGAGAAGTGACGCCGGTGGTGTAGATGCCACCGTTCGCGTCCTCGTGGATCTTGATGTTGGACCTGCGGTGGCGGGCGTCAGGGTCACGGGTGCTGTCAAACAGGTCAAGGATCTCCTCATTGTAGAGCTGTGAGGAAGGAAACAGCTGAATGCATATGGCATGCAGTGGGGCCCCAGGTGGCTGCCACATGCCTGTAAACCATCTCTGTTTTATAGATGTGCAAACTGAGGCTCTGGGTCCCCTCTGGGTTCTGAATCCCACGGCCTTTCTGAAGGATAGGGGCAGGAGGCAGCTGGGACCTGAGGCTGCACATTGCTCCTGACTCCCCAAGGAACCAGCAGCCAGCAGCTCGGTCCCAGCAGGGGCTAAGGACGGACGGAGGACAAAGGGATGGGGCTCTAAGATGCAGGAGATGAGGAAGAGGTGGCCACAGTTTGAGCAGATCCTGTTGTATTCCTGGAGTGGGAAAAAGCGGGTGGGGATGTGACTCCAGGTGAGGGAGAGCAGAGACAGAGCTCAGTGGAGACCAGGGGAGCTGTGCCCTGACCCTGCGGTCTCTGAGGTGACGACAAGCTCTTGAGGGGAGGAACATGCCTGTGTGCCTTGCCCTATGCTAGGCAGCAGGTGGGCATGGAGAGCACGCCACCGGCGTCCTGGAGAGGGCTGGTGAGACCATCGTGGTGAGGGGGCCTGGCCTGGAGCAGTCACCCCATTTCAGACGGTCTCAGCCAAGAAAACTCCTGTGTTTGGAACTGCTGGCAGGGCAAGTGTCACCTGCTGAAATCTGGGATGCTCAGCAGGTAGATAGTGAGGGCTGGGGAGTGGAATAGGGATGGGGCAGACAGGGCAGCAGCCAAGAAAATGCTGTGGGGCTCGGGGGAGGCTGCAGCTCTCAGACATCCAGGCTTTGACAGCCCTGAAGGGACTGAAATATCCCACATGAATGGGAAGGAGGAGATGGAAAGGATGGTGCAGATGGGGGCCCAGAGTGTCTGTCTGTCTGTCTGTCTGTCTGTCTGTGTTGGGGCAGACACACTGCATCATTCGACCTCTTGTGGTTCACCGTATGGAACTGATTTTCCAGGAACCTGCTCTCTGGGGCTTCTCCACAGCAACAGGATAGGGGAGGGACGAAAACAAAGAGATGTGAGAGAGACGCTTATTGAGACACACAAGCAGCAGGACCTGTACACGGACATGAACACAGACACACACATACACACACACATAGACACAGACGCGCAGACACAGAGACATAGACACATGTGCACAGACACAGACACGAACACAGACACAGACGTGCACACAGAGACACAGACACACATGCACAGACACAGACACGAACACAGACACAGACACACACACAGACACACAAGACACAGAGACACAGACACAGACACACAGACAACCTACACGCACAGATAGGAGCACAGTCACATACACATAGTCAGTTCATTTATTAGAAGCGAAAGTCCAGAGGAACTAAGAAAACCTCCAAATTCTAAAATGCAGGGTACCCTAGAGGGCAAGCCACCGCCTGTGTGCCCAGGAGGGGAAGCTGTATTTTAATAGGCAGAGGCTGGGGTTGGGGAAGGCCTGGAGAGGGCCAAGGCCACATGCTTCCCTCAGAGAGCAACCTGGATACAATCAGAGCTCCAGGGTTTATGGGTAAGCGCCCTTACTGGGTGGGGATCAAGATGAGACCCCCTGCTCCCCACTAAAAGCCCCTCCCCAGCTGCCAGTCTGGGCCTGACATTGTCCCAGAGACAGGAAGCGTGGGTGCACAGAAAGACCTTTCCTGGAGGACCTTCCTGCCTGGGGTCAGAGAAGACTCGGGGGCAGGAAGCACCTGAGCCAGAGGGGCAGGATAGGCTGCCCTGAGGCTAAGGGGGGACACAGAGAAGGCCAGTATCACCCCATTTTGCAGATGAGGCTCAGTGTGGTGAAATGACTAGCTCAAGGTCACAAGGGTAATCAGTGTCAGAGCTGAAACCAGTCAGGTGTGAAGGGATCAAACAGGTCATCAACTCAAGCTCCATCTGACGCAGGAACCCCTTTTAAGTGTCCCACCAAGTAGTCCTCCACCCTTGCTTGGATTCTTTCAGTAGCAGGGAACTCATCACCTGGAGATGCCTCCATGATTCCCTGGGCTCATTCCACTGCACTAGAGGAAGGCCCAGCTTCCATGGTCCTGCAGTCCCCCAAGCCTCCCACCTGTCCGCCCTATGAGGCCATAGTACCTCCAGAAACTGGGCGCTGACTTTGAACTCAGGTCCAGCCACACCCTGCTCCTGCGCCCGACGCTTGCGCTCGGCAATGCCCCCAAAGAGGTGTGCGATGGCCCTCGGGATGATGCCCTGCTCCTCCTCCGTCGTTGCCATGTCGAAGCCAGTACCCATGGTGTACGTCTTCCCGGCCCCCGTCTGCATTGGCAAAGATAGGGGGGTGTAACTCCACACCCTTTGGGGGCACCAGCAAACCCTGGGCCTGGGCCAAATCCCCTTAGCTCATCCACCTCCCAGCCTGGTTCCCCGGCTGCTTTCTTGGTCCTGCAGCCACGCTCTGGGGAAGTCTCTGACTGACAGCCCTCCCTCTGCTAACCAGCGGTGCAGCAGCATCCTTAGACAACAGACAAAACCCTGAAGCTGTGTCTCAGCTGCTGTGAAGGTGGGGCCTTCTCATTGGATGCAGGGAGACCAAGGCTGGAGCAGCCATAGGTGGGTGTGAAGATGGCTTACCTGCCCATAGGCCAGTACCGTGGCATTATAGCCCTCAAAGCAGCCCTCGATGAGCTTGCTCACACAGGTGGAATAGATCTGTTCTTGCCAGGTGTCCAGGTCGAAGACAAAGTCATAGGTGAAGGCCTTGTCCTTCCCCAGCAGGACCTGGGGCTCTCCTGGGGTAACGGAGGTACAGATGTGGCAGCCCTCAATCTTCTCCTTTGACAGCTGGGGCCGGATCCTGTCCAGGATGGAGAGAGCCCTGGGTCAGGCAGCTGGAAGGGGGCTGCCGCAAGCCCCTGTCTCACACTGATTGCCAAGCTGCCACTACCCCCGTGAGCCAGAGGAAAAGGAGGGATGCTTATGTGCCCCTAGAGGACATGGGCAACTTCTTTTTCCCCTGAGATGGAATCTTGCTCTGTTGCCCAGGTTGGAGTGCCTTGGCGCCATCTCAGCTCACTGCAACATCCGCCTCCTGGGTTCAAGCAATTCTCCTGCCTCAGCCTCCTGGGTAGCTGGGATTACAGATACACACCACCACACCCAGCTAATTTTAGTATTTTTAGTAGAGATGGGGTTTCACCATGTTGGCCAGGCTGGTCTCAAACTCCTGACCTTGTGATCCATCCACCTTGACCTCCCAAAGTGCTGGGATTACAGGCGTGAGCCACCATACCCAGCCAACTTTTGTAATACAATAGTAATAACAATATCAACATCATCAAAACAGCAGTTGTTAACATTTATTGAGCACTCAGCATATATCAGATCTATGTTCAAAGTACTTTCCATAAATTAATTCATGTGTTCTTCACTATAAACCTGTGAGGTGCCTACTATTTGCCTAATTTTACAGACGAGAAAACGGAAGCTGAGAGAGTTTAAATGACTTGCCCAAGGGTGTATTATGGAAAGTAATGGCGCCATATCCAGGTCTGTGTGACACAAACACACACACTCCCAATTGGATCGGAAGCCCTGGAAATCAGCATCTCGCCAGGGGAGAGAAGACAGCTTGCCCACTGCTGGGGAGGCAAAGCGCAGGGCCAGGGTGGGGAAGAGAAGGAACTGGATGCTCCCACAGCTCTGGGCCACATTCCCAGAGCCAGGACTAAGCTCTAGAGGGGGCCAGAGCCTCTGCCAATGCCTACGGGGGCTGCATGCAGGAGGCTGAGAGCTCCCCTCCCTGATGCCAGACCAGGAGCCCCCTTCCCTGATGCCAGACCAGGAGCTCCCCTCCCTGATGCCAGACCAGGAGCCCCCTTCCCAGATGCCAGGGCCTGGTGGACATTCTCAGGCCCCAGCTCTTCTTCCTTTCTAGGAGTGGAGGGGCCAGACCATGCACAGCTAGGGCTGACCAGGTCAAGTCCCAGGTTCCCTTGCGAACGGCAAGGGCCTCTAGAAAGGACACCAGGCCGCCCAGGGTGTGCTCCCAAGCCAGATCCTGGCAGGCTTCCCTGTAAAGAGGAAGAAAAGCGGCACCAGGACTGAGTGAGGAGCCCGCCATAGACAGAACTATCTCTATCCAGCCACCCCTTCCTCTCTCTCCCAAGCAGCCATCACTATGACAAGGTTCCCATGGCAACCAAGAAGGAGTCAGCAAGCATGCGTGTGCAGGGATTGGCAGAAAGCACCGCCCCCACCCCAACCCCCTAAAGTAAAAGGGGATGGGGGTTAGGCTCTCATGCCCATGGGCTCACACAAGCCAGCCCATCAGCAGGCACTCACAATGAGCTGCTTGTCAGGCCTCCTCTCCCCAAGCCAACACTTACCAAGAGAAGAAAGGATGCCAGGGGCCAGGCCAGCACCCATCCTGGGCCCAGACGTGCCTAGCGACAGAGTCTAGGGCCTCCAAGTCGCAGTCCTGTCTCTGTCCCCAGCTGCCCCAGCTCCCAAGGCCCATTCAGAGCTGTAGGCTGGGGAAGGTGCTCACCTGAGCCTGCTGCCTACATTTCCACTGCAAGGGAATAAAGGAGACTGGGGAGGCGGGGAAAGCCCAGCAGGGATGGATTGGGGGTGAGCTACACCAGGCCCAGTGCCGACCCACAGATAGGGGTCTGGGCCTTCTTCAGAAGTGTTTCCGAGGTGTGGACAGACCCTCACCTCTAAAAGGAATGGAAGCCCAAAAGAAGTCACCACATTTATCCAGCTGTCTGGCCCAGGCTGGAAGGGAAGCCCCGCTTCTCCATTTTCCACCTGAATTGGCTTCTGCCTGGGAAGAGAATGGCTGATTCTTGCTCATCCTTCTGGACCTCCAGACCAGAAACCTGAGGCTCCAGTAAGAGCTCAGGGTCAGCAAGGCTCCTGCCTCTACTTCTACCTCTACTGCTAATGATGGCAGTGAACATACACTGAGTACTCACTCTGTGCCAGACAGCATCTAAACACTGCTATGGATTCACTCTTGGTCCTCAAGACACTGGGAGGTGAGGACTAGACCCTCATGTATGAATGAGGAAGCTGAGATGGCACACAGCCAGAGTCACAGGTCACAGTCAGGAGCAGAGCCAGGGCTTGAACCTGTGCAGTCTGCATACATTGCCCTTTCAGTGGTCTTACGCTACCCTGTCTCCAAGGACCAGGGCTCACAGTGCCAGGGGGAAAAAACATCTTACATATGCAGGGAGAGAGAGTAGGAGCAATCTTGGAAGGAGGGACGTGGCATTGCACACAGTTACTAAAAAGGAATCTGGCTCTCAGACCTGGCTCTGCCCCTGGGCTCCTGGGATCCAAGGCTAAGCACTTCCTCCCAGGACACCCAGGCATTCCTAGGTAAACCAACGGCCTGGCATGGGCAGCCTCTGAGGACCCTCCAGCTCTGCTGGCTAGCACCAGCTCCTGAAGACGGCCTCCCTACCACGTGGCTGCCTGCAGTGGGATTTCTGGATTCAGTTCAAATACCATTTAATTACTGTAGGCAGATGGCAATGCTGGCGATTGGAGGAAATCAAATCACCATCCCTGGAGACAGTGGAGCAGGGGAGGAGGGGGGCAACAGCCCTGCTTGTCAGAGCCCTTCAATGAGGTGAGCAGCTTCTGCTTCAGTAATCAGCCCCTAGACCACCTGGGGAGCCTGCCTGCCAGGATCAAGAGAGTGGGCAGAACAACAGTCTGGGAGAGAGGATGTAGGGAGGAGACCCCAGAGTTTTAGGGTCCAGGAGTTGTGGGGTCAGCAGGGCACTCACCCTGGGACCCTTTGTTGACCCAACACATTCTGTGGTCAGAAAGAGACATCCAGCCCAATACTGATATACACTTAGCACCAGACTGCTTTGTCGGGGTGCAGGTGAGCATGCGTGAGCAGTGTCACCCAGAGAAACAGATATTGTCTGGGAGACAGGGGGCATGGACCCTGGATGAGTCACCAATTCCCAAAGCAACTCACCTGGAAGAGGGAGAGAGTGTTGGACAGAATGAGTAAGTGGAAATGGAGGCAAAGGAGAACTAAGCTGCCAGGGATGCTCTCCATGTGCTCATGCTGGGTCAGGCACCTCCCACAGATCACCTCGTTTAAGTGATGCTATGACCTAGGGATTTTAATCCCCATTCTCCAGCAAGGAAGGTTGAGGCTTGAAGTGGTTAAGCCACACACACAGTAAATACAGTGAAGCTGGGCATCGACCCCGACCTGGCTATGAATGCCCTTCCACTCCTCCGGCTGCTTTCTGTCAGAAAATTTACTTATTTATTTATTATTTTTGTTTTTGAGACAAAGTCTCACTCTGTTGCCCCAGGGTGGAATACAGTGGCACAACCATGGCCTTGGCCTCCTGGGCTCAGGTGATTCTCCCACCTCAGCCTCCAAAGTGCTGGGATTATAGGTATGAGCTCCCATGCCCAGCTGAAAACTCTTAATCCTAAAATTGCTAAATAAACTTCATCCCACACCACCTGCATCAGAGCCAGGAAGGTTCTCCAGAAGGATCCCCGAATATCTGTTTACATATGTGCAGGGCTGGGCACCAGGCTTGCCCTGCCTTTGAGGGCTCACAGTCCCTGGTGGCAGACACTGTTTCAGTCATCCTGGGCTTACTCTTCACCACACCCTGCCTGGTGGCAAATTCAAACTGACACCCCACAGGTAGGAGACAAGAGGGCTGGGAGACAAGCGACCAGGGTCCTTGTCAGCTCTGCCTTGGCTCTGTTGTGGTTCACGAGCCTACTTCCTCTTAGGCTATCTAGAAGGTCTTTTCCCGCTTTCAACTTTCTAAGAACTCCATCACCCACCCCGCAGCAGCCTCTTCTCCTGGCCCCACCCTTGGTGAGGTCTCCTTTTTGGGCTGCCCTCAAAGTGGCAGTGGCCCACTTGACCCCAGATAAGCGGAAGGAAGAAGCAGGGTGGCAAGGATGGGCACCACTAACAGTCCTTTTCCTCTCTGGGGGCATGGGAGGGGGGTCAGGGATCTCTAGGGTCTTCTTTTTAAAACATTTTTGCAGAGACAGGGTCTCGCTATATTGCCCAGGCTTGTCTCAAACCCTTGCGCTTCAGTGATCCTCCTGCCTCAGCTTTGAGAAGTGCCAGGATTACAGGCATGAGTCCCCGCATGTGGCCTGCAGGGACTTCCAGCTAAAGCACAGGCCCTAGAGGCTGTGGACCAGAGCCAGGACCAGGGTGAGGCCAGGGAGGCATTCACCCTCAGTTCAAAATTTAAGGAGGCAAGGAAAAAATTCAGTAATCAAGATAAATTACAACTTAGTGTAATATCTTAAAAATCAAATTAGCAAATTGTGGCCCACAACAGACCAGTTGCCGGTTTCTGCCAGTAAAGTTTTGTGGCCCAAACATCCAGTGTCATTTCTGCCCAGGGTACCCCGGGCATCTCAGCCCAGGCCCCACCCCTCCAATCTTCCTTCCATCCCTTCTCGAGGCTCTGCCGGGAGGGAGGACCGGCTGGACAGCCCCACTCAGAAAGGCCCCCGAAATCTCCCAGAACAGAGCCGGGCCTATTTGCCACTTGGCAACCCGGAGGCTGAGCAGCGGGTAGAGCGGGCGCGGGCGCGGGGAGAAAGGGCCCGGAGCTTTTCAGAGGCAGGATCTGGCTCAGGCAGGGAGGCTGCCGAGCTTCCTCTGTTCACAATTGAGCAGGAGCGGGTGTGATGCGGGAAGCCGTACCCCACCCCCGGAGAAACGCGCACGCGGAGGCCAGGGACGTGCAGGCGGCTGGGGAGCCCCCATCCTCGCAGGCTGACCCCACCCCCTGCCCCCGACCCGCTGGGTGCCCGCGGTGGCAGCGGGACAAA